TTTGCTTGATGTGAGTTTTGAAAGCTTGATTTTGTTTATGATCAATGTTAGAGGTACCGAGTAGCTCGTACTTAAGCGAATGTTAGGGTTACACTGTGTGAGTGACTCGAGCCACTTCGTGTTAATTGGTCCCGAGATACGTACTAAAGGTACTACGCGAAAATATATTACGGTAATTTAATTTTAACAGATTAAAAAATTCATCATTTTTAGAGATATCGGTGCTTGCGACGACAGCCAGTCACGCGACTGGTAGCATGAAGTGTTGCTGTAATGTAACTGGAATGCATGAATGTCACCCGAAGGTACGAAGCACTTGGTGAGAATTTGCCTGACGAGTACTGCTAGAGTAGAGCAGACCATGACCAGTATCTTTCACTTTACGCAGCTCAACAGTATCACCGCAGCACGCACACATTGGAATCAACAGACAGAGGCATCACAATGCGAACTACAGGGGTACATTATCTTCATGTTATCGACTTCCTAACTCGCCTACTGCAGGCACTTTAACATGTACCGAAGCCTGAAAAAACGCATTGAGGCATGGCTGAGCTTTGTCGGCATATCGATGCCGGTGAGGTAGCACTCAAAGAATAGTAAAACAGCTGCTCCACAGCTTGAGAAGTCCGGCTGGCGTACATTCGTGACTCTCTGAATCGGCAAGGGTATGGAGATGTCTTCACCTTCTAAAAACACGTCTTTCAGTAGTTCTTCGCATTTGGCGTAATATTTTGACTTGGGGTCTTGCAAGGGGTCGAACACCAGGACTCCTCGACGTTCGCTGCGATAATCGAAAATTGCTCCACACCAGTGGTTGTTGTCTATGTGTAGCGGCAGCAGAATGATCTGGTTCGTTTTCTTGAAAGACTTGCCTGCATCAATAGCCCTGAGCCGGGCGTCTTTATCGTGGAAACGATTGAAGATCGGGTTAACGATGCCAACATCCGGGTGTTCTCGTTGGAGTAGAGCAATCCCATGCCCCATGCATGAATCATCCATCCACATATTTTCTCGAAGCGTTAGTAGTCCGTTATAGGGCACACTACCGAACGAAGTCTCGCGGCCACCCTTCAGAAGAATCCGCCTGATAATAACTTCCCGTTCTGTCGGATCGCTGCTGACTCCGTCATCAATCTTTACCGATAGAGACAAGCGCTTGACGCTAGTGTTGACAGCCCAAGTAATCGCATCTTCAGTGGCAGATAAATTCTGCATGGAGGCGTGCCATCGGTCCATCGCGACAATGTCCTGGTATTGGAATATCCCAAAGCGAGGAACTCTTACACCAATAGTGTCGTCATCGACAGTTTCAATCAAGCCTTTTCGAAACGCTGCGACCGCAGCCAGGCATTTTTCCACAAATAGTTCTGGAAACACAAATCTGACGTCACTGATGCACTCATCCTCAAGATAAATACCAGCATTCGTTTTCTTGGTCTTTGGAACAGCTCGAATAGTGAGATTGGGTAGCACCTTCTTGGCGTCCTTATAGGTGTAGTTGTTGTCCAACAGTTTAGCAATGTTCCGTACGCTTGGAACTGGTGCCAGCGTCCCTTGTACCAACTTGGAAGCCTTCTTCTTGCTATTCTCGATCCTCTGCTTCTTTTCTGCTTTACCTTGCTTCTTTCTGACTTGGGGACGTCCCCGACGTTTTGCGCTCTTTGTTATCACAAATGACCCAGACTGCGAGGATTCTGACGAACTGCTGCTAATGTGCTGGCGCTTGGACTGGCTTGGATTTTGTTCGAAATCAGACATACTTGCTGCATCCACCTATAAGGTGGTTAAAGTCACACAGGAATTGCCTCTAGTTACACACAGTGGTTCTTGTGTAGCAGGAGGGGTCAAAGTCACGTGGGAAGTACCTCTAGTCACACACGGTGTAACTGTAGGCTCTTGCGTTGTAGCTGTAGCACATTGCATTGTAGCTAGAGGTGCGCTCTGTTGAGTCGGAGGTTCGTCATCATCCGAGTTCGCTGTGGAAGTGTTCTTGTTTTTTCTTCATCTTCCGTATCGCTTTTCATCACAGCATCCTTTGGTTCAACAGCATTGGTATTAAACGTAGGCAAAAATGTCAGCGAAGATAGCTGTGAAAGCGGGTCTACCCATTCACCTTCTCGACCAACAAATGGTGCAACACCGTCCTTGAGAATGTCTTCAAATTTCACCAAGGCGTTCATCATTTCTCCAAATACAAACGCTCCGTTCCTGCTCATAATGTCTGCAATACTCTTTCCACACTCGAGAGAGTGCTTGTACTTCGTCGTCCCATTTAAAACGTGATGGCGCCTTGCTGTCATAGCAGAGTCACGGACTTTGAAGGTTGTGCACGCAACTGTTTTGTCTGGTACGTCTTCTTCTGGCGCAGGTTGATTCAGCTTGCACGACAACCTCCAACGGGGTGCAATGTACCGAATAGGAATTGCCTGTTTTCCACGTAAAAGACGCCAATACATGACGTGCCGGCATGGAAGCAACATCGTCTTCATGAATACACATGAGCAGTGATATCTCTAAAGGCACGCAATAACAGCGACGTACGTTAGGGTTTACACGGGCCAAAACGGGTGACAAACTTACCGTAGTGTCGACATGATAGCATGTACTGGTGTCGCCACCTCCGGTCAGGACAAACAGGCTGGAATGTATTTCCTCCACGCCGTAACTTGTCTTGCGATCCTTAGACGCCCAATACTGCTCTTCATCAAGCCGGTACGCATACGGGCTGACTTCGCGCGCTAGCTGTTCAAGCTCGTGATCTGCACCATCATAACGCATCTGGCCCACGTCTGTAATTTTCTTTCCGTACTCCATCTCTGCTACTGCTTGCAAGAACATCAGCGTATCTACGCACTCATCCAGCGCCATCTCCTGCTTCAGAACCTCTTTGATATGACCCCATGATGTTTCAAGCCTACAGACCACCAAACCACCAGGCAAAAACACAGTTAAAGGTGAGTCTAGAACCTATAGCGCAAGAAATTGTACCTATTATTGGTGTGATTGCCTAGATGTGGAACATCCGAACGTGCGTACAGCGCCCATCGTTCTTTCATCGAATCCCAGTTCTTCATGAAGTACTTCAAAAATGGATGCGTAGGCACAGGTACAGGGTCTTCACGTTTAAGATGAACACCTTCCAGCAAGAAGTATAGATACTTCAGATACTTAACGTACTCATCCGTAGAAACCGCCAGCCGCATCATATCGATAGCATCTTCAACTTGGTCTTTGTCGAAGCTGGACGGGCCTCCATACTCGCTCTTTGCCAGCTCGGTCCTAATATACTTCTTCAAATGGAAGTGACACAGAATCACTTTCACGCCAGGGAACTCCATTCCTAGTAATCCCAATTCACCCGTGTCCTTGTCAATCACAATTACCCTGACTTGCTCCCACGAAGAGTTGTTAAACTTGAACGACCCGATAGCATCTGAAAGACACTCTGCACTTTCGTTCTCCATGAGACTGTGGTGTACGTATTGACCCTAGCATTACGTTAACAACTCATAAGTAAAAATTTGTACATATCAAGTACATGTTGTAGCTGAAGCTACGCAAACAGTAAAAGTGTAACTAGAGGCACATAGGATGTAACGTCAGGTATATTTACTTACATGTCCGTACACATCGTTAACCATGAACGAGAAGAGCTTGTAGCGCGATTCGTTGGTGTTATGCGTCGCGTCAATGAGCATCACTTCAGGAAAAGCCTTGAACCAGCGTCGCATTTGTCTCGTCTGCAACGCGATGGTCTGTGCAGTTTTGGATTCGTCGACGTAAACGGTTGCTCGGTTTCCACGACATTCGCAAATCCCTCGCAAGACAGTCTCCAACCGTTCTTCAGTAGTCGCACCTCCCCTTCGTCTCTCCTTCATCCTCGCCACCATGTTGTGTAAATCTCGAAGCACCACATTTTTTTCCTACATGGAGTCCAAAACAAGAAAGCTATCAGTCACTATATATAATTCTGGGTTGAGTTAAGCGCACCCACCTGTCTTCTTTCGCAGGAACTGCATAATTAGCTTCGGCTTAGAACCAGCAGCTTGGAGTTCATCCACGAATGCCAGTATGTCCGGATCCTCCACGCGACGGTTCGACACATGGTTCTCAAATGTAGCGCGAGACACATTGTGGTTGTGTCTGACGTCAAAGTCAGTGACGCGTACCATAAACGTGTCGTGTGCATCGTTCCATACGACAGCAGCCTTAATGTTTGCCTTACAGCCTGTAGTCTTCTCGAAAAACGACCTTCGTATCCCCTTTCCACGGCTCTTGCGCTTCCACCCGTGAGTGCAGACCAACTTAATCCAGAAATTTCCGAACTCCTCAGAAATCAATCGATCCGACGTCTCATCAGTAACTGTGTTAGTCGTGCCGGAATCATCTGGGTCCTTCGCATTAACACTCAGGTTTGCTCGCGCCTTAATCTCTCGATTTCTCTTTTGAACCGACGTGGACGTGCGCTGTGGAAAGATCTGGTGTGTCTCCTCTTGGTAGCGCTCCATGTATTTGCGGAAGGCATCCCAGCTCTCATGCCACTCGACATCAACTGGGGGACAGAGCCACGAGACCCCAGGAGGGACTTGCCGCTCGGGTTCACTGTCGCTCATTCTGATTGCACACATGAGAACCACAGAATACGCTCTTAGCTTACCCCCCCCTCTAATCTACATGAACATGCATGCTTACCTTCAGAGCTGTCGTGTGTCTTCGTCTCGTATTAGAGTTTAGGAGGGGCGCGTGGCTGATGTAGTGCGCGGGAATTTTTTGGAATGAAAGGCTCATAGATATTGGGGATGGAAGAAAGGGAGAGGGGGTCTTTTCCAGAAATCTTGTTTTTCAGAACTGAGTTGAAATTTACCTCGGACAGTATTTTATCGTCAAAATTACGAAGGTACTACTGTAATGTTTCGTGTAAGTACTATTTTACTCGGTGCCGCTAACCAGTTCCTTTGTTTATAGTCCCAGGACCATTCTTGATGGCAATTGTTGCAAATAATAAAAAAATCAACAACACTCACAACGAGCGACTGTTGGTTTATTGAATGAGCACCATCCAACTGATGAACAAGTAGAAGAGCAGAACTGGGTACACCGTCAGCGCCTTACGCTTCGGTGGCACCAACGTGGACATGAACACGACCGAGGCTGCGGAGTACGAAATAGTTATAAGCGTCGTCAGAATGGCCGAGCCAGTTTTAGTGCAGCCATTAACAGCGACGCACCTCGAGTCGACCAGAGGAAGCCCACACCAACGATGACCATTCGCAGCAAGATGTGTGAGACCACCACTTTGGCCAGCATGCACACCAAGGTTGCGATATTCAGCGGGAACACGCAGTATCCCAACACGCACACACTTTGAAAGAAAGATCTGCTCGCAATAAAGACATCGGCATATCTGTTAGCACCAAAATCTACATTCTAAACCAAACAATTAATCCCAATAGCGTACATGGAGCTGCCCAGCAGCTGCGCGTTAATAGTGACGATGGCGGCGCCCACCCAGATCACGACAAACACTCCTGTAAACACCATAGCTGACTGTGCTGCAGGGGCCGTCACACTCAACATGATGGAAAGCGTCAGGCACAGTAAAAGCGGCCCCCAGAGGTCCCCTACAAGGTAGTTGACAGTCAGTGTGACGTCATGTACAGTCAAATTTCAGCAGTCATACAGTCCCGCAGCGCGTGGAGTGTCTCCTCCGACGTGTTACTAGGCATAAGAACCACACGCAGCTTGCCGCCTACCAGTCGCAGATCGCGGAGCTGCTCGACACGCGTCGGAAAGGCAGAACGAGTTGGAAATTGGGAAAAGGAAACCAAGGCAAAAGGAAAACGACAGCTTACGATGGTGGTGGACACCGGCTCATCCAGCGTGTTCTCCTCAGCCGATGGGAGGCTGATGCTGCCTGAGACCAGCTCCACACCCGCGGCGTCACTAGCCTTCTTCTGTACCGACATGATGATAAAAGGCGCTTCCGAAATGTGAAGCTGCCTCTTGCACGAATATTTCATTTCGGAAATTTGCAATAAGACTCGGTGGAAAACTCAAATTGGGAGATGAAATCTCGCTTCAACTCTATTCATGTATTAATAATACAAGTTCATGTATTTCGCCACCGGGATGTGGCTTCAACACGCAACTGCCTTGCTGCTGTAGATCTTCACACTCACGCATTGTGCTAACCATTTCTGCTGGTTACCGCAATCAGCAGCACTGCAACTTAATTCGAAACATACCACATCGTCATCTACGCACACAAATAAGTAAAGCTAAGTGTAGCTCGCTTCAGGCATGTTTTTGAATAAAATGTCAAGTAAGAATCCACACAACTGAACCCACACAATCGATTGCCAGGTTTTCTGAGACGCCTCTCTTGGGTAAACGTTTACGAGACGTGATTGGCTGGTTTACGTCGCTTGCAGCACATTTTCCATCTGGACCTCGGGTAGACAGCTCGTATTTGTCACTCTGACTTTGCCATGGGCTGCACGTCGAGTAGAGACGCCTTCCAGCCAATTCCGGATAGCTACAACTCCGTCGGTGCGTAATAAAGAGGGCCAACCTATTTGCAAATGCACGATCCCTTTAACGTTGTCATATTCTTGGAACTATTTGTTCACAACGTTACCAGAGGAAGTACAGAAAGCTCTGCGGTAGGCTGCAACGGGTTTTTCGATGCCGTGTTTGGGCAGGGATGGATTGATTGTAACTTTGCCGTCGTGGTTATTTAAACAGACAAGTTGGGCTGCAATCGTCTGACCTGATCATCGCGGTAAGTTTATCTGTGCTGGAGTTGTTGTCTCGTGTACCGTTATCATCATTTCTTCCTTTCTTTTGTATTTTGCAGGTGGACTTCACCGAATCAAACCTGGTAAGTTACACCTATAAGTATTCATGTGGTGCAGTGGCTGTGTTTGACAGGAAATGTATTTATTAGACCAAGGGAACACACACGTTTGAAGGGCGCTCATTACATTTTGTTGATAAGACAGGACGTGTAGCGAATCCATACCAGGTACATTGCTGCTTTAATGAGCTGGTACATCGCCTACAGGTAGCTAAAACTGGTCTTTGTTTTCACTCTTTTAGACCGTCATCTCGGCAATCACCCGCGTGTTTGAGCTGTTCGACGACGATGATTCTATCCCGGCCTTTGGATTTGGTGGCCACCCGGAGCGTCCACTTGAAGAGCGGTATTTCCCCTTTGTGGAAGGCCGAGGTTGTGAATTGGATGAGGTTTTGCAGCGATATTTCGCGATTGCTTCCACCATGGAGCTTAATGCCCAAGCCAGCTTCGTACCAGTAATTCACGAGGCAATCAAGATGGTCAAGAAGACCCGACGGTACCACATCTTGATCATTATCTCCAACGGCCACATCGACGACCCTGTCATGGCTCGACAGGCTATCGTCGAGGCATCCGAGTTCCCAATCTGTACGTGGCTCAAACAGCTTTTTATTTACACTTCGTATTGCTGCTGTTTTGACTGACAAACCGATAAAATCTTGGCTCATTAGCGATTATCATGGTCGGCGTGGGCGACGGTCCTTGGGCAATAATGAGAGAGTTCGACGACCAGCTCCCTGAGCGTCATTTTGACAATTTCCAATTCGTGAACTACAACACCATTCCTAGAGGCAATCTCAACAACCCTGACGGAGGTTTTGCTATGCAAGCACTCATGGAGATCCCAGGTAGGCTAAGCCTCTGGTTTGTGCTGTGATCATCGTGCTCACCTACTCTCGTTACAACTTCCGTAGAACAATACAACCAAATCCGCGACCTCGGATTGATCAAGAACTAACCTTAGAAGGTTTGCTGCAAGCACGAACCACGTACTGACTATTGCGTAGATGCACGTGTATCAATACATATTCTCGGCTGTGTTTTTATTCAGACCTGCTCTGTAGTAACGCTCAGCTTGTAATGAGTTTTCCGTGCAGCAGACTGATCGTTCCAGCGCTAAGTTTTACTTTGAAACAACTCTGGCGTATAAGTACATGTACATGTATTAATACTACATCAACAGTACCGGTAGTGCCGGTACTGCGCTGTAGTACTTCAGTTGATGTACAACACACAAACTGAGCTGCGACATGTGCTTGAGCTACTAATAGTACAGTACAGTCGACGAGATGATGAGAAAAGCTTTAGCGCGGTGTAAACGCAGACCCCCACGCAATCGGAGCAGCAAGACGCAGACGGATATCGTCGTGTGCAATAGCGTGGTCAAAGCATTCAACACTCACCACCCATGCCATTTCCTCTCGTTGGACGGCGCTGCTGCATTTTCATTCCCGAATTTGCCTCGTTCCAAGAACTCCAACCGGACTCCTTCCCTATCTTCTTGCAACAATGTATGCTGCTCCACGCACCGTCAACACTTACGCCGCTATGGAGAAGTCTGGCGAGCTCAAGCCGTGGCAGTACACATCGCGTCTGCTCGGTGACGAGGATGTCGAGGTCAAGATCTCGCACTGCGGTATCTGCGGCTCCGACGTCCACACTCTCGACAGTGGCTGGGGCCCTACTGCCTACCCCGTTGTGGTTGGCCACGAGATCGTGGGCGAAGTTACTGCTGCTGGTCCCAAGGTGACCAATCTGGCGGTGGGTGACCGTGTTGGTGTTGGCGCCCAAGTCTGGTCTTGCCAGAACGAGGAGGCCGACAAGCCGTGCGTCGACTGCGCTGACAAGATGGAGCCATACTGCGACCGCGCTGTGCTGACATACAACGCCAAGTACGAGGACGGAGCTCTGGCTTACGGTGGATACGCCGACTACGTGCGTGTGTCCAGTGCCTTCGCCTTCAAGATCCCCGAGAACATTCCGTCGGACGCTGCAGCTCCTCTGTTGTGTGCTGGTGCCACCGTCTTCTCGCCACTGAAACACGAGAACGTTAAGCCTGGCGATCGTGTCGGAGTCATCGGCGTCGGTGGTCTAGGTCATCTGGCCATCCAGTTCATCCGCGCTCTTGGTGCTGTGCCTGTGGCTTTCTCACGTTCAGCCAACAAGCGCCAGCAGATTCTGGACCTCGGTGCTGCTGAATTCTACAACTTGAGCGACCCGGAGGATGCCAAGAAGGCGGTTAATTCAGTACATATGCTGATCTTGACTGCTGACGCCAAGGGAATGCCGTACAACCAGTACCTGGGCCTCCTCCGCAAGCGTGGCACGCTGGTAATGTTGGGTCTGCCGAACGACGAGATCAAGTTCCTCCCAATGTTCGTCGTGGGCCGTGGAATCCGCGTAATTGGCAGTCTCATCGGCAGCATTGAGGACATCGAGGATATGCTTAAACTTGCGTCGGAGAAGAATGTTCGTCCGATCATTCAAAAGCTCCCCATGGCCAAGGTCAATGAGGGTATCACTATCATGCGTGAGGGCCGCGCTCGCTACCGTGTAGTACTAGAGAACTAAGGCTTCCGTTAGACTGCATAAGATAGTAACTAGTTCAGTTGGAATTACCTAAATGCAATAGTTTCAGCAACGCTTGAGCGTGCTACCGACTGCACCAGAACGCTGATGCAACTTGTCGGTAGTAACCTTCAGATGCAAAGTAAACCATTCGAATTAGCAAGTGGGTAATGCACACAACAGCAACGACCCGCAGTGGCTCGTACCATTCTCCTCTTTCTCCATCATGTCCAGCAGCTCGATAGATCTTGGACATTCCGTCCCCAAAGTCGTTACTTCAGCATTGGAATCATCTCTAAGCGAGGTCACGACTTGGGAAATTTTATCTTGAACTGAAGTTCCCGTCGTGCGTTGAGACTATTGATAAGCTCACGATCGCGAGATTTTTTCCATACCGTCATGTGAGGCGCTTACGGACGGCGAAATCTTTGCGTCGTGAAGCCTAGCTGAAAAAACTCCCTATGAAGACGCTCGGCCACCGCACCCAACCTTTGACAATAATATCGTCAGCCAGTAGAATGCTGATCAGCTTTATTGACTGGTCTACTCACCGTCGACCGTCGGCTGTAGACACGTCCAGCTTGGCATGTAAAACGTCGTTATCACCGAAGAATCCCCAGTCACTGAAGGTAAATTGTGGTGGAGATTCACGCACAAATTCCTCCGCTGCCACTCGAGCCGCTTCCGAGTGCAGCACTTGGCACGCTTGATCAATTTCTACATACAAAGAAGCGACGAAATGTCAAATGCGCCGACCCTTTCGTTCCTTGCTCTTGCTGTAGGCTCAGTAAATGACACCTGCATTTCCCGGAAGACGCAGCACACAGAGCGTGACGTGCAGCGTCCTGGGGTCGATGAGGCACGGCGCAGCTGCAGGACAAGCGTCGCGTATCGCAGCCCGAAGCTGTTCGACCTGCGTCATGAGGTCGGGTGAAGTGACACGGAATCCTACGAAGAAGTTGGGCCTCTTGCGGCGGAGAAAACGCGGCGTGTTCCTTCTTCGGGGCCAGCGATCGGGTCGCATCGACAGCATTCTTCGTATCACCGATAGCGTTATCTTTTGTGATTTTCGTGGCAATTGCAGTGATTACGCAGTCGAAAACTACCGTATACTTTACCAAGGAAGGGTAAAGTAATCGAAGGGACAAGTAATCTTGCCTCAACGTGACTCAGAAGCAATTATTTTTCTATTTGAGACTCACCAATGAGAGCCTGCAAGTGGTGCTCGCTGTTTTCTGCGTCATCTTGAGCGTGCTGCTCAGTCGCTTCTCATTTTTCTTTCCGGAACCCAACGCCCAAGTCGAACAGAACATCAAGCTAGAAATGGTCGCTCAGTAAGAGGATGGAGATCCTCTAGGAAGATGCAGGTTCTTGAGTGGAGCAAGAAGACGTAAGAATTACATGAACAGCGATGAGAAGAAGCAGACGGCGGAGAGCGGAGACGAGTTGAAGATTGACGGGTTGCCGAGGCTGACCCACGGATGTGAGGATCTTGCCCGCGCCCTTTCGAGTGAAGACAGAAGAAGCCAGTGGTACAACGCAGATGCCAATGCGCAGACGGACGATACTCAGGGGAGGCACGACGAAGTCGACGTGAACCTGGAGGTCAACGTGAGGGAAGTGAATCAGTTCTAGATTCACACTGAAGTGCGCAAGTGCTCCAGTGAACTAGGAAGAGATTAGCTGCGAAGTGCGCGAGCACCTAGTGGTCGAGCGGTTCCGCCGTGCCGGCGACGTACGCGAATAAAGAGATTGAAACCGAGTGTATTGCTTATTGCGTGTGTACTGAGCTAGTGGACGCGTCGGGTGTGAAGACACGGGTATCTGAAGTCCCGTAAGGTCACACACTCGCGGTATCAGCAGCCCGCTCGGGGTAGCTGCAGCGGTCACGGACAAGAGCACAGGTCTCTGAAGAAGAGATCACACACTCGCGGTATCTGCAGCCCGCTCGTGATTGACTGTAGTTACTGCGGAAAGAGCACAGGCCTAGGAGATCCTGACGCCCCACGCCTCTATTCGGTCGGCAAGATTTATCTCTGGAGCTGTGCATATGTATATTTAGGGCTCTAGGGGTTTGTGTGATTGCAGGACGGAGTAGTGATTGCTAAAAGTATACGCTGGTGGTCATACGGAGGAGTGAGAAGACAACAGCAACGAACAACAAGAGATAAAGAGAAAGAGAACGCTTACTTGGTGGTCATACAGGGGCCTTCTAACACGGTTGGCTCGCGAGAACATCGAGACCTTCACGAGTTTTGGCCCAGAGGCACGAACCTAGCTGGAAGCGGCGAGTGAGAGGAAAGCGCTCCACGGAAGTCCACGGATTGGGCTACGGAATTAGAGACAACGGATCTGAAGCAGAGAGTGAGTGAGCACAGACCCCTGAACGGATAACAGAAGACGGATAAGAAGAGGAAAACAGAAGAATCGAGCAATGGTGAGCACGAGATCATCACCGAGAAACAGTACCCCTATGGCAGGAACGCCTACGAGAAGACAAGCGACCACGCCAAAGCGTGCTAGACGTCCGAGAACCCGTATTCAACTAGCAGATGATGACGACAGCGTCCACGAGAATGACGATATTGCAGTGAGCAGCGGAGTTGTAGTAGCGGCAATGAGACCCGCCCTGAGAGACCCTGCTGATGACAGCGACAGCGACAACCAAGCTCAAGACGGTAACCGAGCGGAAAGAAACGATGGAGGAAGAGCGCAGGCTAATCTACCCGCAAGAGGCAATCAACCTGGCGGCAGTAATCCATTAGCTAGAGCGGCGGCACCAGCAGCTCCTAACCAACAGGGTGATGACTTGGAGACGATGAACTGGTGGGATCAGCTGACAGCCCCACAGCAGAGAGCGATGATGAAGCGGTTCTTGATACAGCCACCACTTGCAGCACCTGCACAACCGGTGATAGTCCAAGCACCTACGACCCCCGCACCTCGAGCAAGGATGAAGACGCTGAGCTTAACAGATTTCTATGGGAAGCTGAGTGAATCAATTGAGGCGTGGCTGGCGAAGGTTCCGCAGGAAGTTGAGCGGCAGGTAGGACTAGGCGGGGATACCTGGACGGCAGACGTACTGTACCTGGGTGTCAGTGCACATTTGCAAGGGGAGGCAGGCGACTGGCTGACGACGCTGACGGAAACTATAAGAGAGGAGGACAAGATGCTCAGCTACTTGGTTTAGAAGCTCCGCAAGAAGTATGGCAGCCGGGATAACTTGTTCAGGACACAACAGAAACTGGTAGCGCGAGTGCAGCAGCCAGGGGAACGACTTGGTGATTTCGCCGGTCGACTGAGACAGATTGGCTTCGGCAAGAGCGTTCCTGAGGAGTCGTACGTGGAGACGTTCATGAACGGCATTAACAACGAGATGGTAGGAATGCAAATAAGAGGCCACCATCCTCAGACGTTGGACGACGCTGTGCAGCTGGCAGAGGATGCGAGCGGAGTATATGGCGAAGGAGTGAAAGTGACTGACTGGCGAGTGGCTCAAAAGCGGTACCGTGACGACGAAACAATAGCGAGCAACGCGGATGAAGCTCCGGCAGCCAAACGGAAAGCTTCGGCTACGGCGGTGATAGACCAGAGTGACTGGGCGAAACTGGGCCTGGGTGGACTGGCGGCGAGCGAAGAACAGCCCATGTTCGACGCTGCTATTAATCGATGGGAGAAGTCAGCAGGGAGAGACCCACTGTCTATTGCAGCTCTGCATGCACTGATATTGACAGCCCGCAGTGGTCCTGAAGAAACGAAGCCAGTAGCTACGAAGCCAAACGCACGAGTGTTCGAGATGAAAGCCGAATCACACGAGGCCACTAGAGAAGCTGATTACCAGCTCCACTCGAAACGATTGGCAAACCCAAACTGGCACGAACGAGGCGGACGCGGAAGTACTCGGGGAAGTGGACATTATGGACCGATGGACACGCCAGAGATCCAACAGCGAAAAGCAAGTACGAGATGTAGTTACTGTGGCAAGCCTGGACACTGGTGGCGAGAGTGCAGAACACGGCTGAAGGACTTGAATGGACAACAACCCGCACAGCAGCAACACCAGCAGTCCGTGCAAGCGACGACTAGCAGTAGTGGGAGAGGAGAAGTCCCTGCAGCCACGACACCAGCAGCTCCAGCAACGACGTCAGCAGTAGTTCCAGGAAATGGCCAGCGACAGTAGAGATGGGGACTCTGCTGTTCGCGACCAAAGGACACCCCGACGCTGAACAAGAAGGAATGAGAAGCGGCCGTGCCCGAGCCAAGAGGAGGAACACTAAGCGCAAGCGACGGTGGACGGAGCACCAAGATGACGGCTTCGAGATAGTTGGTTCAGTCCAGGGGAAGAGCGGAAGCCCGGAAGGCCTGACTGTGACAGCGTGTGACACCTTGGGTAGTTCAGTGTAGGGGAAGAGTGAGGCGGTTGGCGCGAGTGGAAGTGATGATCTGGTGGAGATCGACCGACCGGAGAGAGCGGGAGAGGCTGATGCAGCCGAGAGAGGAGGAGAGACCCCAGCGGTAACGAGTGAGCAAGCCGTTAGGGTTGAAGCAGTGGAAGAAGCGGACAAGCCAGCAGATGCAGTGGCTGCGGGTCCCCGAGAACAGGTGACGGCAGTCCCAGTGTCAGTTGAGCGCCAGACGGTGCCGATGAGTGCTGGACGGACGGCGTCGGCCAGACGGAGGAAACGACGAGCTGAACAAGAGGTTGCGGCAGGCAAAGGCAGTCTGGTCGCAGAGCTAGCCATGAAGCGTGAAGCACGTGCGAAGGTACGAAGGACGCGAGTGCGACAGCTGATTGAAGATCTACGGATACCCGTTGACCAGGAGCAGCCGAAACAGCGTCGAAGAGAAGCGCAGATCGCCACAGAGGCAGTAAAACGGGTGGAAGCAGCAAAGAAAAAGCAGGCCGGTAAGAACGCGGTCGTGGACAAGAACACCTCGGACGGCAAGACAGATGGGGATGCTCCACTGACGAGTACTGGCGAGTTCTCGACGAGTGGATGGCTGAAGGAAGTTGCGAGGTTTGAGGAAGAGGCACCTGATGAGCTGATTGAACTATGGTCATTAGCAGAGATGCGAGCTGCCAGACGGGAAGCGGTAAAGAAAGCCAGGTTCGCGAGACGGCTTCGACGGCTTCAGCAGCGGAAAGAATCACTGTCGGGAAGCGCTGAGCCAGTAAAGAAGAACTCGGTAGGGCGGAAGAAGCCTTGGCGTACGTACGAGTACAAGCAACATGGGTGCTACGGCGATGTGGAGCTAAGAGATGACGGCAATGGCAACCTAGTGAGAGTCGCACCATTACGAGCAGTGGGAAGTGATGGATTGAACTGTTTGCCTACAGCATTACTGGCACTGACACGGAAACACACGCAAAAGGTTCGGCTGAATAGCTGCGCCCAGTACAGTGTAGCCGGCGAAGTACTGAAGAAGTATGGCAGATGCATCATGCGGAACGCACCAGTAGACATCGTGGAAGGATTTGGCGGAGGCATCAGCCGAGTCCTGGGAGTTTGGCGATTTGTGGGCACTACACCGCTCCAGCAAAGAATACAAGTCGACGCACTTCTAGTGGAGGGACAGGGAGATGAACTCCTCGTCGGTGAAGATTGGATGGTGCAGCACCAGATCAAGATGACTTCGGCAAGCGAGAGCTGAAATACATTAGCAACACTGGAGAGAAGGTGATTTGGCCGTTTACGTGCCATGGAGTTACGAGCTTGCAGCCTAGGAAGGTGATGGTGCGTCTGGCGAAAACCCGGAGATTAGCCAATAGCACCAGCAATGTGGTTCACATGCGAGTGGACGCGGATGATGGCACTGAAGGGATCTTCATACCGAAGCCGACCCATAGAAGACATATGTTGCTCGCACCCACCGTTGACACTGTGAAGAAGGGGGTGGTACGAATCTCAGTGATGAATGTGGAAGGTCGGCGTGAAAAGCTGCCAGCGAGAGAAGCTCTGGGCACGTGGATACCCGTGACGGAGGATATGCAGCTATTGGAGCTGAACGGGGAACTAGAGCGGGAGCGCGTAGCCAAGTGGGTGAGGACACTGCGGAAGGAAGATGCTGAGCCCCTCAAGGATGAAGACAAGTTGGACATTGGCGAGATGGAGCCGAAGGACAAGGACTTGGTGGTTGCTCTGCTGAGACAGTACTCGGAGATAGTGGAGAAGAAGAAGGGATGCCCACCATTGGCGAAAATAGGCGTGGAGCACCACATTAACACGGGAGATGCTTCCGCGATCATGATGCGGAGGCGCCGACATGCGGTGGCCGAGAACGAGCTGATCGACAAGGAGGTGGACGAGATGCTGAATCAAGGTGTGATCGAGTATGGTGAAGGCGCCTGGGGATTTCCAGTGGTGATTGTCAAGAAGAAAGATGGCAGCGTCAGGTTCTGCATCGACTACAGGGCCTTGAACGCAGTGACCATCAAGGACGTGTACCCGCTACCGAGAGTGGACGAGACTTTGGAAGCCCTGCACGGAGCTCAGAGGTTCTCCAGCTTGGACTTACACGCAGGATATTGGCAGTTGGGGGGTAGCTGAGAAGGACAAACCGAAGACGGCGTTTACAACCAGGAGAGGACTCTTCCAACTCACACGGATGCCGTTCGGACTCTGTAACGCGCCCAGCACCTTCCAACGACTGATGGACTGTGTACTACGAGGACTCACGTGGATCTGTTGCTTGGTATACCTGGACGATGTGATCATCTTCACCAGAGGTTCAGTAGCACAGCACGTAATGGAATTGGCGGTGGTACTAGACAGATTGGCGGACGCTGGGCTAAGCTTGAAGGCGTCGAAGTGCTCATTCGCAACGACCCAGATGAAGTACTTAGGGCACGACCTAACACCGAAGGGGATACAGCCTACTGCGCGACTTATCAAAGCCATAGTGGACTTCCCGAAACCGACGGACGACGCCCAAGTGAGGAGGTTTGTAGCTCTGGCGGGTTACTACCGACGATTTGTACTTGAATTTGGCACCAAGATGGCGCCCTTGACCAGCTTATTGCGGAAGCAAGTCGAATGGAGATGGGGAGCAGAACAGGAGGAAGCATTCGCCTGGGCCAAGGCATGGCTAAGTCAAAAGCCAGTGCTGATATACCCTGATTATCGGCTTCCTTTCAAGCTGACTACGGACGCCTCGAAGACGGGGTTGGGAGCAGTGTTATCCCAGGATCAGGGGCACGGAGATCAACCGGTGGCCTATGCATCTAAAGTGAACAATCCTACAGTGGCGAGCTATAGTATTTCGGAGCTTGAATGTCTGGCAGTGGTTTGGGCAGTGAGACTTTTCCGACCTCACCTGTACGGAAGACATTTCACCATAGTGACGGATCACGTGGCATTGAAGTGGTTGATGACGACCAAGGAACCGGCCGGAAGATTACACAGATGGGCACTTTCGCTGCAGGAATATGACTTTGATATTCAATATCGACCTGGCCGCGAGAACCATGTAGCAGACGCGCTGTCTAGAGGACCTGTTGACCTGAGTGAAGGAGCTGATAATCAGAGGAAGGATGCGATCGGACGAGACGATGACGAGGAGAGCAAAACCACGGAGTTGAAGGCAGGCATCGATGACGCTATTAGGCACATCACGCGAACAGCGGCAGTGCAGCGAGTAGAAGCAGCCGAGCTGGGAACTGTCCAATTCACAGACGAAGACATCAAACGAGAACAGGGCAAGTCAGCGATGGTGAATACCCTGAAGGAGAGCGGAACTTACCGAGGACAGCGTGTGTTTGTTGACGACGAGGGACTTGTACGGGTGGAGCTGAAGTCGGAAGGCAGTCGGATCATCCTGCCTACGATTTATTGAGCGCTAGCGTTCAAGGAGGCTCACGACAGCATTTGGGCCGGACATTTAAGGGGGCCACAGACGATGGAGAGATTACGGCGGATGTACTGGTGGCCACAGATGCGAGAAGCCGTTCAGAGTTGGACTTCCGCGTGTCAAGACTGCGGGTCGAAGAAGGCTAGACCTAAAGCCGTGGTACCACCATTACGGAGCGTAAGAACCGGAGCAGTAGGGGATCGCTGGGCTGTTGACGTAGCGGGTCCACTACCAGAAACAGGGGAAGGCAATCGATTCGTCATTGCGGCCGTGGAATACACCACTCGCTATGCAGTAGCAGTGGCAGTGAAGGATCACACGTCGAAGGCGATCGCTCGATTTCTGATGGAGAAAGTTGTCTTGGTGTTTGGGCCAATGCGTGAAATCATGATGGACGGAGCAAGAGAATTTGGTAGCAAGATGACAGCAGAGCTGTTGGAGCTAATGCAAACGAAGCAGTCTACACCTGTACCGTACCGACCGAATTTGCTTGGACTCGTTGAACGATTCCACCGAACGCGGAAAGACATGATTAGCCTGTACGTGGACGAGCAACAGGATGACTGGGACGATTTCCTGCCGAGTGCGCTGTACGCCTACAACTCCTCGAGACACACAACACACGGTTATCAACCAAATGAGCTGATGATGGGAAGGAAGCTACGTACCCCAGCAGAGCTGCTGCGCAGAAGCAGATTGGAGTTTCCTCATAGCACTTTGGACGACTATTACGAAGTCCTGATGCAAGACCTGCAGAAAGCGCAAGAATTAGCGGCAGTAGCACTGGAAAAAGAACAAGCGAGACAAGCCATGTATTATAACCAACGCAACGTACGAAGAGGAAGCAACTTCCGGGATGGACAACTTGTGTGGGTCTACCGCCCAGCGAAGGGCCCAGGGATCACCAAGTTTGGACACCGATGGCGAGGACCTAGGAAAATTGTGGAGGCAGCTGGTTATGATTACTACCTGGTGCAGATGCTAGAATCAGGACATGAGTTAGTGATCCACTGCTCTTTCCTGTTGAGCTATTATTATCCGACTCACCTGCTGGAGGAGATGGCCGAAGACATGGCACTAAACCTGAAAGATGAAGCTATCGCAGCAGCCGATGAAGACTCAGAAGAAGAAGGCAGCTCTGGAACGAGAATAAGACAGGAAGAGACACAGATTGATAGAAGACGACCAACAGATGTGAGCCGAACACCAGTAGCGGCAATTGTGGATTCGCCAGTTGAAACCAGAGACCCGTACGGAACGGAGCGCAAGAGCGAGAGCGACGACGAACCAGAAGGTATCGGCGGGCAGCAAGAACCTGATGGCGAGCCAGAACCCGCGACAGCAAACGGCAGATGGCAACGAGAGCATGAAGGACGACGAGTGGGGCACGAAGAACGAGACGGTAATATCGCCAGCAGAACCCGTTCCAAGATGTGACGAGCTCCCTACCGCGAAACCGAACGCGAAGACGCCGAAGGACGCGAGCAAGAAGTCTCCGGAGGCACTGGAACGAGCGAAACGAGAACAGTATCTGTGGGATCAGAAAGTCAAAGCGGCACTGGCTATGGCAGAGGAAGTGAAGGCAGCAAACAAACTGCGAGAGAACCGGGGAGTCAAGCGGTCAGCAGCGGACATGTACGACGACGAGAGCAGCACGAACTCGAGGAGCTTGAGCGAGAACTCCGACGGACCGCCCACGAAGAAGATGAAGAGCCGAGTATCTATGTCTTTGCCAATAGAGGTCGTCGAGGAGTTGATAGCCTCGTATCTACACATTTACGTCTCGCCAGAATTGGACCTACCGACACCGTGGTGGAGCGTAGAAGGCGAAGGTACAGATGCCGTACGGGGCGTTACGTACTGGAATTCGAAGTGGAGCGCCTGGGAGATCGACATGACGGAGGAAGACCAGAGCGATTGTGGATCAACTTCAAAGACTTTGAGCATCTGTGGCGCGAAGGAAGACTTCGGAAGTGAGCGGGATGACGATCGAGGAGGACAGAGAGATCGTAGCGGAGCAACAACACGTGACAGTAGCAGGACAGCGGCAACTGATTAGGTGGGACAAACGAATCACAATCTACGGTGCGAATCGAGGACGATTCGAGTGGAAAGGGGAAACAGAGTATGAGGATGGAAATCCTCTTGGAAGATGCAGGTTCCTGAGTGGAGCAAGAAGACGTAAGAATTACATGAACAACGATGAGAAGAAGCAGACGGCGGAGAGCGGAGACGAGTTGAAGATTGACGGGTTGCCGAGGCTGACCCACGGATGTGAGGATCTTGCCCGCGCCCTTTCGAGTGAAGACAGAAGAAGCCAGTGGTACAACGCAGATGCCAATGCGCAGACGGACGATACTCAGGGGAGGCACGACGAAGTCGACGTGAACCTGGAGGTCAACGTGAGGGAAGTGAATCAGTTCTAGATTCACACTGAAGTGCGCAAGTGCTCCAGTGAACTAGGAAGAGATTAGCTGCGAAGTGCGCGAGCACCTAGTGGTCGAGCGGTTCCGCCGTGCCGGCGACGTACGCGAATAAAGAGATTGAAACCGAGTGTATTGCTTATTGCGTGTGTACTGAGCTAGTGGACGCGTCGGGTGTGAAGACACGGGTATCTGAAGTCCCGTAAGGTCACACACTCGCGGTATCAGCAGCCCGCTCGGGGTAGCTGCAGCGGTCACGGACAAGAGCACAGGTCTCTGAAGAAGAGATCACACACTCGCGGTATCTGCAGCCCGCTCGTGATTGACTGTAGTTACTGCGGAAAGAGCACAGGCCTAGGAGATCCTGACGCCCCACGCCTCTATTCGGTCGGCAAGATTTATCTCTGGAGCTGTGCATATGTATATTTAGGGCTCTAGGGGTTTGTGTGATTGCAGGACGGAGTAGTGGTTGCTAAAAGTATACGCTGGTGGTCATACGGAGGAGTGAGAAGACAGCAGCAACGAACAACAAGAGATAAAGAGAGAAGTCCCGCTTACTGCTCCTTTGAAGCTCGCGCTCGTGGTTGGAGCTTCTTCCGGCATTAGTCTTGCGGTTGCGAAAGAGCTCGCTCCCATCGTGGCCAAACGGACGCTCTGCTCACGATCGTACCCAGAAGAGCTATTAAAATCGATCAAAGCGGACAACCCGAACGTGGAGGTTGTGCACGAGAAACTGGACGTGTCACTGATGCACGAAGTTCGCAAATTCACGACCAAATACGCGGATACTCAGTTCGACTGGATTGTCATGAGTCCGGGTATCATGACACTGAATGGCCGAACGGAGACACCCGAGGGTCTTGACGTCAAGATGGCGACTCACTACTACGGCAGGTACTGGACCGGTATTCAGCTCTCGTTGTCGGAAGCTAATGTTTTCTGGTGGATAGATTCATGTTGGTCCATGACTTGCTGAAGGGGTTTAACCGCCTCGGTGCGCGTGCTCTCAACATTTTTGCTGCTGGCCACGGCGGTGCAATTGACGTGAATGACCTTGACCTGAAGCACACGTATTCTGGTAAACGTTGCGCTGATGCTACGACGCAGTATTCGTACGTTATCTCACGGTGATATCATTGTCTAGCTTGAAACTAACTAAAAGCTCTCTTTTCTTCTTGTTGTCAGAGACCTAATGGCTCAGGCGTTCTCAGAGCATGCTCCAAAGGCTTCTTTCATGCACGCAATGCCTGGATTCGTGAATACTGGTTTGTCCAAGGGATTGCCGTGGTTTTTACACGTCCCAGTGAGTGGGCTGTCCACTTTGTTTGGTCGCTCACCTGAGGCATGTGGCAAGATCATGGTGTCGGCGCTTCTGAATGACGACTATGCAACTGGCTGGAGGCTTCTCGACTACAATGGGAAGGTGGCGTTCACGACCAAGTACCACACGGAAGAGGCGAAGAACGTGGTTTGGAAACACACCGTCAATACCATCGACGATATCATGAAGCAGTAGGGTGCCGTAGTGCTTCAAAGCGTACGATGTGAAAGCAATATGCCTGCTTGTGTTTCTTTGGCTTTCCAACTCTTCCGTTCGCTTAACCCCTTGGTTCCCAACGTCATAACTTACGGCTTTACGAAATCGTACGTCGTAAGTTACGACGAAAAATCTTCGAGCAATAGAAAATGGCTCGGAAAAAGAAAACAAATAATGAAGTCACTTTTTTCTTGCCCAAAGAATAATCTGCTGGAGGTCACACGGGCAATTGCAGAAATCGGACAGGGCTAGGTAATGTAAAGGCGTGGGGTCCGACTCGCAGCTGATGCATTCATCATTCCAAAATTTCCCGATGGCGCGCATCAGATCCACTGGACTCCAGAAACCCGCCGTTACTCAGCTCGACGTCGACTTTCGACATCTCTGGAGGCAGCTACGAGAGGTGGGATGGAGTTCCAGACGTCCCAAGGGCCTCGAGACCGACTAGACCTACATGAAGCCTGGTAGTTCGGCAGATGGCACGGTTGGAGTCGACTTTTTCGTTGGTGAGGATGCCGTAGTGGCGCATGTCATTGAGGCTGGATTGCTGGTAGCTGAGGTGAGCTGTTCATTTGCGATACTGAGTAGAATGTAAGACTAAGACTGATGATCGTTGCAGGATGAAGCGGCTGCAAACGATGAGAGCCACGAGAACCAGAGCCATAGTGAGGAAGAGGTTGGGGATCAATGTGAAGGGCAAGCCCGTGAAGATGCAGTGCAGGACGAGAGTTTGGTGCGGGCGTCCCAGATCAACACCAACGTGGAGCTCTCCCAACACACAATGGATGCATTGTTTGGATCCCCAGCACCGAGTGAAGTGGCGCTATCACAGGGAGTTATAGCTCGTGCATTTGACTTTCCGCAAGCTGGCCTTCAGGGAGATGTTTCCGAGCCGGATGTACTGGAAGGGGCAAGTCAATTGCAGCACTTGTCAGGCGCTTCGGGAGCTGAAAGTTTGGAGCTAGATGTGCCTATAACCAGGAAACTTCGCCCGCGACGCCAGTTCAAGCATGATGTAAACTTTATGGAGAAGAACGAGAGCCCAAGTGATTACGAGTAGCTGAGCTCGGGAGAAAGCGACGGTGATGCAATAGCAGACAATTATGATGATCCTCTGGAGATCCGAGGAATAGATGAAGATGACGATGTCATCTCGGATACGGATGCACCTGAGCTGGACGAAGCATTTCTGGCCTCGCTTAGACTAGGAGACGATGCAGGACTAAGCCGAGAAGCCCTCGCAAGAAGAAAAGAAGCTCTCCGGGCAATGCGTTGGACGCCACCTTCATCGAACTTCGAATTCGCGAGCGCATACCCGGGTCTTACCGGTGAAGAAGCACAACCAGTTGCTGACCTACGGAAGCTCTGCAATTCACCCATCGAAACCTTCTTCTTCTTTGCACCGAAGTCTATGTGGGTCAACATTTGCGAAGAAACGAACCGTTACTGCTCGCAGCAGATCCTCCCCAGAGCCGAGCGGATGCGCGCGAAGCAGACCGAGCGACGAGGGACGCCAACGGAATCGGTGAAGCAAATACGACGTCGGCTCCGAATGAAGCCAGATCACGGAGCGCACGAGCTTCTCCATGTGATGGGTCTGCTGGTAGCCCATATGCTGTGCCCTCCACAACGGCGATTTGCGCAGCACTGGTCCATGACAGAAGACGGTGCCGTTCCCGCCGGGACCTTCGGCAGATATATGGCACGGAATAGATGCCAAGACATTCTTCGAGACTTGCATTTCGTTGATAACGAAAGCGATCAGACTCGTGACAAGTTGAGGAAGCTTCGTCCGGTTGTCGAGAAGTTACAAGAGCGTTTCCTGGCCGGTTAGAAAGCTGCCTGCAGTTTTTTCATTCGACGAGGGCGTTCTGCCAGCGACCTCTCGACGAAACACCACCAGGATGTTCATGCCGGACAAGCCGCACAGATACGGCTCCAAAATGTTTATGACGTGTGACAGCAAGATGGCGTACTGCCACAGGTGAAACTATTTTTTTATGTTGAATTTTCAATGATGTAACTTACGACTTTTAAGGCTGACCTCGTTCTGCTTTGTCGTAACTATATAGATTCGACATTTACGTTGGTAAAATGAAAGCTCGCGAAGATCAGGCCGACGCATTTGATCACAAGACGGGAGCTGCAGCAGTAATTTGCAGCCTCAAGGTCGTGCTCGCAAACGATCGCCAAGCCTTTCACGCAGTCACGATAGACCGATATTATTCATCAATCCCGTTAGCTATTGAGCTGCTATCGATGCACGTGTACGTCGTGGGGACGATAATGACTAGGCGACTCGGGTATGACCCCAACGTTATCGAGCGACGAAAGACCCGGCCAAGAAATATCCCGCGGGGCTCGTTCACGTTTTCACGCTCGCTGACTGTGCCAAACTTGATCGCCTTCCACTGGTGGGATCGTAAACCGGTCCACTACCTGTGTACAGGGTCAGTGATGACAGCATCCATCATCAACCGCAACGTGAAAGGAGAAGGGCCAGCGACGGTGGCGTGTCCAAGGGCAGTCAACGATTACCAAGAATGGATGGGCGGAGTGGACGTGCATGACCAACTCCGCCTCCAAGCCTTTTCGATCCAGACGTCGGTTCGTTTTGCAAAATATAACAAGAGCCTATTCTTAGGTCTCATTGATTTGGTCATGATGAATTCCTACATCTCACACAAGGCTGCGTGCAAATTGGCGAACACACCGGCGATGAAGCGTGGTGAATGGTACGCTGTGCTCCACAGCCAGCTACTTCAGCTGAAAGAACATGGTTTTGCAGGAGTGGCGGTCACACCGTCACCCGGAAGCAAGAAGCGCAGACGGAAACGCGTTAGTCATTCCCTAATCCAGTTCGACGACTGGGTTACAGTATCGGGAGTTCAAAAACGGCGCCAGCAATTTTGCAAAATATGCGCTTTGCTCCGCGGTGATCGAAAGAAGTCGTTTCAGACGACCTTTTACTGTGAGAACTGCTCCATAGACGACGCCAAGTGCTACCTATGTCCAAAAGCAAGACGTGAGTACAGAGGTACAATGAAGACTTGCTTCCAGAAATGGCACGATGATTTTGAGTGCGGGTTCGCCATCCCACCTACGTTGGGCAAGCGCGTTGTCCTCCGGCGCCCTGGAAAGAAAACAGGTGTGCGCAAGAAAACACGGCGTGAGCTGCTTCGTGAAGAAGAGGGCGAAGCGGACGACGAGCTCCGTGGTGATGCTGAGGAGCATAGCGAAGACGACAGTGAGTTCGACCTGTAGAAACGCAATGATCAGGAATCTTGAGTGTTGTTATAAAATAAACTTCCTTGAACTGTCGTACCTTTTGTCTCCTAATTTCTAAATTTCTGAAATGATTGGATTCAGACTTCCGTACTTCCTTTTCTGTAAGTTACGACTTTAAACTCCACTGTAGAAAAGAAAGTTGTTAATCTTACGACTAAGCCTAAATTTCACCTGTACAAATCTATATACCTAGCCTCATGTGGATAGTCCACAACTTTACAAACGTCTTGATAAAGAATACGTCATAAGTTACGACGTTCGAATCCTGGGAACCAAGGGGTTAAATATCTACAATTTTTGCACTTTGGAACCGAAAAATAGTCATCAATCCTTTGGTTAATAACAAATAATATGTCTAGTGAAATCGTACTCTCTCAATTGTCTCGATTAGTACAATGCTCTTCGACTAAACAGCACTTTCAAATGGGGAGAGGTTAAGTAATCACTTTAAACGACAATGCCTCCCATTTACCCGCATGTCAGGTCTGCAGGGCTTTTGGTAGCTGCTCAGTGGTCACTCCGCAATCTAACAGTCAAGCCGAGCAAAACATTACGCAAGCGATGGTCGCTTTTTTCAAACACGCCCTCGTGATCGGAGCATTGGTCTTGCGGTTGCAAAAGAGCTCGCTCCCATTGTGGCCAAGTTCACGCTTCGCACCCGGAAGATCTGCTGAAAACGATCAAGGCGGACAACCCGAACGTAGAGGTTGTCTACGAAAAGCTGGACGTCTCACTGATGCACAAGGTCCGCAAAGTCACGGAAAAACACACGGATTCGCAGTTCGACTGGATCGTCATGAGTCTAGGCGTCTTCAGCTTGGATGGCTTAACGGAGACATCCGAAGGTCTTGACGTGCTCACTACTTGTACTGTATTACGGCAGGTTCGGATTCTACACCTTTGCCCGTCCAAACAGAGAATAATTTCAAGCAAAGTTAACAATTTTTTTGTAGTCAGCCAACAAGAAAAAAATGGTTATGTGGACAAATCATTGTGTTTTAAATTATGGGTAGATATATAAAAACAAGTATCCATCATTTCCATTTTGGCACCTTTATCTCGTCTATCAGCTTTGAGCTCAGATAGAAACTCGAACCAAAATGAGCGCCGCCGAGCAGATCCAGAGCCTCATCACCTCCCTGGAGACAGACTTGGGCATCGATGCCAACGCCCCTATCGGCAACGATAAGAAGCCGCAGCAGCAAAAGGAGCAGAAGCCCAAGGCCAAGAAGGCAAAGGCTCCGAAGCCTGCTAAGGCCCCTGCCGCCGACCCGAACCAGCCGGAGATTACCAAACTCGACATCCGCGTGGGCAAGATCGTCAAGGTCTGGAAGCACGAAACGGCTGATAAACTCTACTGCGAAGAGATCGACGTGGGCGAGGACGAGCCACGCCACATCGCCAGTGGTCTTGTGTACCACTACTCGCTCGAGGAGATGCAGGACCGCCGCGTTCTGGTGCTGTGCAACCTAAAGCCACGCAACCTCGTGGGCTTCCGCAGCCACGGAATGGTCATGTGCGCTGCTGTGCCTCTAGAAGACGGTAAGGAGAAGGTTGCCTTCGTCACGCCCCCCGAGGGCGCTAAGATCGGCGAGCGCATCACGTTCGAAGGTCTCACGGGTGAGCCTTTCTCGCCTGCTCAGGTGGAGAAGAAGAAGGTGCTGACTGTGCTTGGCGACGACATGAAGACGGACGACAACGGCGTCGCTAAGTGGAAAGAGCACGTGTTCGGTACGTCAGCTGGCCCCTGCACGGCCCCTGTGAACAACGGCGTCATTAGATAAGAATCAGGATGGAGAGAAGAACTTTCTTACGAGACAGAGTAAAAGCTTCTTCTTTTTATGCAGATAGCGTCTAGTTGTAGTGGACATGATGGACATGGAGAACCCCTTAAGCTAGTTGCGTTTACGCTTGGGTCGAGAGTTTGTAGACGCTTGGACTTTTTTAACTGGCTTGGTCTTCTTCTTAGCTTTCTTCTTAAGAGGAAGTGGCACGACTTCTTCTTCTTCGTCCTCATCTTCTTGTTGCTCTTCTTCAATAACTTTAGAATTTTTCTTGGCTTTCTCTTTAGCTTTTGCCTTCGCCTTTGTCCTCCGTCTAGACGTGTTGACTGTCGGAGGCACGTCTTCGTCCGAGTTGCTGGCAGAGTCGAAGGCAGCAGCGAGGTCTTTCTTCATGCGGCCCTCCAGATCTTCCTGTGTGAATCCCTTCTGACTGCGACTTGGAGGCTTATCCACAGAAGGAGATTTAGCAGTCACGTGCCAGTTCTCGTTGGTAGGATGGCCCTGACTGGGAGAAAAGATCAACGTTGAAGGCTCCGACGTCTGTCGACGCGCTTCCTCGCTCGACACTTCGCGCGGCTGAAATCCTCTTCGAGGTGTCGGGGTCGAGGGAAGACTCTGACGTCTGCTACCCTTCTCGTGATCGCGTAAGCGCACGGGTGTGTGACTCGCCTCTAGCAATTCTTCTTGTGGTGTCTGAGGGGCCCGAGGACTCTTGCTGGCTGTCTGCGGAGACGTGGGTGCTTCCTGGACGTCTTCTGGAGCGTGCGTCATGCGACGAGACTGCTGTTTCTGCTGCTGTTGCTGTAAGTCGAGTTGCCGTAGATCGTACTCCACCTCCATGGCCATTTGAGGGTCTGTATTCATGAAAATGTCCTTTACTTCTTGACGATACATCTTGAACAACTCGCGGATGTAGTGAAGCAGGTAGCGCGTCAAGGGACTGTGCTTAGCTTCGAGTGTGTGCTTGAGACCGATGAGCACAGGCACGACGTTATCCAGGAAGTTCTTCTTGGACATCTTGGACAGCAATTTGCCCTTCGCTGCTGCAATCTGCGACGCCACGTTCGCGTTCTCCCCCGTAGCTGCGTCGTCTCCGTCGTCCTCGTCCTCTCCCTCCTTCGAAGATGCGAGTTTGATCTCTGGAGAGCACAGAACAGCGAACGTGTCCTTTAGAACTGCCTCCGTACAGCTATCCGTGATCTGCGACGGATTCTCGCACAACGCAAGAGTACCGTCCATGACTTCTTCCAAGACTTCGCTGCAGAGCTTCATAGACACTTGCAGCTTCTGCTCGTCCGACATGTGCTCCAATAAAAAGTTATACAGCTTCGCTCGTCGAGGGTACAGCGCATTGCCCAGCAACGCCAGTTCGCGCGTGCCTTCCTGTTCGTACGGCTCCGAGAGCTTGATCTTGTCGCCCTGAATGCCATTGAAGACGAAGATCATCTCGATGAATTTGTTCGTGAAGATGTGGGGCGATTTCTGCAATAACGGTCCACAGAGCACGTGACGCGCCAGGTTGGCCAGTTCCTCGTCTTCATCGACTGCTGCTCGAAGGAAGAAACGCAGCAGAGACTCGCGCCACTTGATGTAGTCCTGCAGGATCAACTGGGAGAATAATAGCAGCGTGTTGCGACGTAACAAGCGACTCTCGTCCAGTAGCGACAGCGCAATAGTCGGAACATACGCGTCCACGAGCGACGTGTAGCGAATACAGAGATCGCCCAAGATCAAGAGGATATTGGAGCGGATGTCCTGTTCCTCGCAAGTCCGGAGCTCGCGAATAAACATCGTCATGCACTGCTTGGCCAGGTCTCCATCACGTAAGCACAACTTGCCTAGAGTCACGAAGGCGCACACACGAACTGGAGTCGGTAAGGGGACAGGCTCGGAGATAGCAAAAGCCTCTTTTTCATCCCCGTGTCCTGTAGCTTGCGATTGGTTGATAGGGACGAACTTGGGCGGCAAGAAGAGCTGGACCAGCGACTTGAGACTCGAACTAACAGGTAGAAGAGCTGCTTTCCCGCTCTTGTCGGCGTCCTTGTCGAACTCCAGCAGAGCCACTTCACCGATAGAGATCAGCTGCTTCTGCAACAGTGTCGTCTCATCTTCCACACTGTCTGGACTGCTTTCAAAGCACTTGCGAAGGTTCGTCTCGCACAGCTCGAGGAGTTTATTCCCCCACGCAAAGCTGATATCGCGGCTCTTTTCCTGAGAAGGCGCTTTGGCTTTGCAAATGCTGTTCAGGGCGAGAATTCCATCGGCGATGACGTTCAGAGGGATGGCAAACGAATGCAGCGACGCCAAAATGCCGTCAGCGATCGACTTGGCATCCTGCGCGTCAATTACCGTCGAAATAGCGGCAATGACACGCAGAATACGCTTCGATCCATCGTTGAATTCCACCGGTAACGCCTGATCCTGCAGCTTGTTCCAGCACTCGACCACGATGCTGAGATTCTGCTGTTTACCTCGAGCAGGCTCGACCAGATTACCGGAGTGAGCCAACTCCTCCAAGACGATCCAGCTGAAGCCCCAGTAGCGTGTCAATAGTCGACGAGTAGCGTCATCTTCCGTTTCTTCCTGCACTTCTTCATGGCCAGAGCTGTACGGACTGACGCTTTCTTTGATAGCAAAGACGCACGTTTTGATGATCTTCTCGACGTCCATCTTGTCGCTCTTGATGAGCATTCGCAGTGCCCTTTGCAAACAGCGAGCCATGACCCCATCAAGATGCGACACTTGCATCCAAACGCAGTCGAGAGCTTCACGTAGCGCCTTGTTACGACGTGAGTCGAACCACGTTAGGACTCGGTCAAACACAACTCTTCCTGCCGCTTCCAACGCACAGGATTGCACACTCGTCTCCGGGTCAACACACAGCGGGAGAACACCAAGGTTCCACAGCTTCTGCGCTTCTTCATCGCGTGGGAACTTGAGTAGAATCGCTGACAACGACTTGATAGACTGCACACGGACAACCACCGACGAGTCTGTACAGCGCGAGTGGACGTCAAAGAGATCTTTCTTGGACGACGCGTGAACAGTGTCGCCTGCGTGGGCCGTCAGAAGCGCTTCGAGAGCGTGCACTGCAGCTCTTCGTACGAACGTCTTCTCGTCCACCAATCGCTCACGGAACAAGTCAACGAGACGCTGCATCAGTGGCGTTTCCTCGAGGGTTTTATTGCCGTCGTCATCGATCACTGACGCGTACAGAAGACTCTGCAACGAGCTCGCAATCGCCTCCGACCCGTTCATCTGGTCGTCTTGATCTCCATCTCCGCTATTAGCCAGATTCGATAACCCGAGCGTCAACATGGCCGAGATTCCAGCAACTGCCTTTGTACGAACTTGAGACATTTTGTCACGAGCGCGATCAATGAGAACTTCGAGAAGAGGACCGACACCAGCGTACGGGACAAGCTCTTCGGACAGCTCGCTCGCTCTCACCTTCCAGAACCTGGTTTCCACCACGAAGCGGCTAATCAGCTCCACGGCGAACTGACGGTACTTGAGCTTGGCGTTGCGAGAATAACTCGTCAGGAAGCGCGCCAGCCTCACGCACTCTTCATCTCGGAACTCGCTCGGCCTCACAGTCTCTTCCTGCTCAATTTCTCGTCGCCCAGCCATCGCAGTCGAGAACACGAAAGACAGTACACGTTGTCGTTCGTCTGCAAGACCTGGAGCCTGCAGACAAATATTCTGGATCAAACCTAGCAGCATCAACGAGTTCTCCTGGCGTGCAGTCCCTTCCGCGTCGTCCTGTTCACATGCTTTCGCTGCAATGTGCTGAATCCTAGTGATAACGTCAATGGAGAGCTTGTGGAAGCGCAAGGACGACCGGTTTTCCTTCGCCACGGTCTCCTGGAGCGTCACACCGGGGATATAACAGTGTAGGATCACGCGTCCCATTTGCAGTGGCTCCCCGTGTGTCCCACTCACCAGCGCCTCTAATATCTGGAGCGTTTTGGTCGTCATTGCTGACGCTGTGCCTTCATTATCAGGCGGAAGGGCTGTCTGCAAAGCTATTGCAGTCTCAATGGTAGGTACAATGGATTCTTTACTCGCAGAGAGCGAAAATCCGTCTAGAAACAGCACCAGCATGTCCATCAATTCGAGTCCGTAGGCCGTGAGCATCTGGAACATCTCGTGGCTGTCCTCGTCACTGTCCTCGTCGCTGCTCTGCTGCTTTCTAGCTACTCGTCGTCTTCCTCGACGGCCTGTTTTTCTCTGTACTGTAGACGCTTGTCCTGGTTCCTTAGTAGCCATGAGTGCGACCCACTTTTTAAGCGTGTCCAGCACCTGACGATACACATACGACATGAAGAGACCGTAGGCTGAGCCTCCAGGTAGCTGCAGCCACGCCAAATACACTTTAGCAGCCACCAGAGCCTTTAGTAGCGCGCTACGCTTCTCCGCGTCGCTCAAATTGGCGTATACGTCGCGTATATTCACTACGGCTTGTAGCAGCGCGAAGAGCGAGCGGTAGACGGCTTCGCTGTTCTCGTTGCCATCCTGAGGTGGAGCCACAGCGTCGATGGCCTCCTGTGACGCGAAAAAGCTCCAGAGATGCGCCACCTGCTCGTCCGCCGCCTGACGCCGCAGAAACTTGGCGAGCACTTTGTCCAAAGCGCGCAGCTGGCGGCAAGTGACCCCATCAGCCCATTCTTCTCGCACTGCTGCTGTACCTCCCGTGTCAAAAAGCGATGAGATGGCGCTCGCCGGTACGGATCCCAGAGCCAGAGGCTGCAGCGCGCGCACTAGCTCCTTCTCCATGAATTAGACGTTTGAAGCGAAATTGGATAAATGTTTTTGAGCGGGAGGTTTAAAAAAAAGTCACCGGTGGTGACCAAACTTGACATCTGTTGCATTTTGCTGACCAAAATTGCTTACATAAAAAAATGCTTGAGCGTTTTTGATTTTATCTGTTTCCATTAACAAATTGAAATTACTTTTGGTCAGACATAATCTGTGGACCCTCGAAACATAATCCTCAGCCAGCTTTAATCTGAAAGCAATAAAATTTAACCGATCCCTTCGCAGTAGCCTACATTCCACATCGCAGCTCGGCAAGAGTACCGTACATCGAAATCCGTTTCACAGAAGGCAGTTCAACAAAGCGAGAAGTGAACTCTTCAGCTGCTGCAAATTCGCCTCGACGGACGTGGATATTTGCCACTGACTCAATGAGATCTGCGCCGCGGCGAGTCGAATGAGTCCCAATGAGTACATTGACAGCAAGCAAATATTTTCTTGTACATCTTACATGGATCTGTCGGTGACGTATCAAGCAGCTCTTTTAGCAATTTGAAACGCAGATCCGTCAAGCTAATAGGAGCACCACACGACTTTGTCAGCAAACGCAAGTACAAGTCCATTGCTGTACAGATCCAACACCTACTGGCCGAGGCTGTTGGTATTTCGAATAGCGAATGTGATCTCGTCAGGACTCGCAAGCGTCGGATCTTCGATGTATTCCTGTTCGCGCAGAATTCTACCAACACTTGAGTGCAAAATTCAAGTTTTCTGGCGGTAGTGTTAACTGAATACAAACCTGTCCACGTAAGCAACGTCCTCCAACCTGTCCTCTGGTAGTGCAAGCTCAATGAACTTCGAAAGCAAGTCTGTACACAACGCACGAGATGAATGAGCATGGTATCGACGCGATGGGGCTCCTTGCAGCTTTGTCGTACCGGCAGCTGCTTGACGTTGCTTCCGCTGGAGAGCCCGCGAGAAGAGATAATGCAGCGCCGCTCTTCGCTGCACAGATCCACACAGTGTCGGCTACAACGCTGGAATTTATAGCAGCACCTTTTTTTTAAGTACGCACCCGTTGCCGCTGCTTCTCTAGAACTTCCTCCAGTACTTCTGGAGGAATTCGTGTAAGGTCTTTCTCCTTCATCACCTGGCATGCGGCGTCATAGTTCTCCAGACAGCGCGCTGTGTCGTGGAGGCGATCCCAAAGACGAGCGAGCTGCAAGGGCCCAGTGCAACAGCATTTGTATGCTTATCCGACATTCCACTGCCAGTGAGCCATACGCACCTTTAAGTTTGCCACATAAGGATCGTGCATCGTTTGGCGTTCGACCTTCACCGCACGGATCTGGTCCATGAGCTGTTTATACTCCGTCGCCGACACTCTCGATCGCCGACTTGGCTTCTGTACCGCCACCTCTCGGAGTGACACAATTCCTGCCGGTGTTATTGCGCGACTAAGGTTTTTCGCGTACGAGGAGCTTCCTGGGCGCACTACAGGTGGTGCTGAGGCCTCTAACTGAGCCAAGTGGTGGCGTAGAGCCGTCACACCCGTGTCACGCACAGCTTTCGACCGTTGCAGTCTCTCATGGCGCGCCTTCCTGCAGAAGTGACTTTGCCATGAGTTCAAGTCCAAACCGACTAGCGAGACCATGGTGTATGGTGGATAATATCTACTGTACACACAGGAAAAGACCAACAGCACTCACTTGTCTGGGATGGAAGGGAGCTTCTTCTTCTCAGCCAGATAGCGATCCTGCAACAAGCGGATCTGCTCCAATATCTCGGCGCGCTGGTTGTAAAGGGCAGCGTTCTCTAAAGATTGCAGACATGCAGGCACACATGCAGCAAGATGCTTCATCAGCACCACCAACTTGATTTGCGAGATGCATGCACAGAACGAACCGGCGTGAAGGGCAATTTTAGCCTCGTCGCGAGTGTCAAGCTGCATGAGTCGCACCAAACTGCGCGTGTGATCTCGCTGAGCCTCACGGCGAAAAGTTTCCTGCTGCTGCTTCGCAGTATTCTCGTCGTGCAGACGCTGCAGCTCGGCAGCAATGATGGACCGGTATGTTGAAGTTCCTGTCATGTGTGACCCGTCGCTCATCCTCTTCAAACTGATAATGCCGCGATTTTCACGTACAGTATCAGCGCCCATGGTGGATAAAGCGCGGAAAGTAACCGCAGCAGCACTTGAGGGCGCCGCTAAGGATAGATTGGCGACGACAGCTCCGTTCGTTACTGGCACTGTCATTTTAACCCATGGTCCCGGATTGCCAAAAACGCATAAAGCCACACAAAAGTGTTGGTGGTCTTCCTGCAAAGTCGCACCTAATTGAAGTTCAATGTCTCCATTTCTAGCCCACAAAGATCGCAGCTTACAAAGGCCAAGTCATTCGCTTGCGTACGTCACCGTGCGTGTCTGCGTAGCCAATCAGCTCGCAGCGGGATCTTTTCCGTTTCGCCAAAGGTCCCAAAACACAAGTTTTCTTCCTCCTTCCAAATACAAATCCCAACACTATCATCTCGTTTGCTGACGCCGTAAAGCCAGGTACCCTGTTAGCTTCGAAAAAAGACGGTCGCCGATTTCCGTACGTCAGCAGCGTCGCTATTTGGCATTTGCCTCCAAACCACTCAAAGCTTCAGTCAGCGCAGAGCCGAGGCGCAGCACAGCGATCGAACGAGCGTGAACGTCGACGAGAGTGCCAGCCAGTCAGCGAGTGCACAGTACTCAGAGTCCATTTTCCAGCCCGCCAGCCAGACGCATGTCGCTCGAGTACGGGATGCCCATCGTGCTACCGCCTATCGGGCCGCTCTTCGCTAGCAGCGGGTCGCCCACGACCACTCTGCTGGGCTATGACGAGGAGCAACGCGAGCAGTACGAAGAAGACATGGCGCGCTACTTCGGCGTGCCACTAGCTCCCTTCATCCGCCGCAGACCAATCAGCGACGAGGACAACCTCCGCACACCCACGAGCGTACAGCCCACGAGCGGCTTCCCCAACTCGTCCCCCGTCAAGAAGGACGCAGCGAAGACGAAGACAGTGCTGCCGCTCCTTCATCTCGACTCCCCCACACAGACAGACGGCGCCAATGAGACGTCAGGAGAGGAGGAGAAACTGCGCGTCAGTCGCGAACGTAACCGCCTCCACGCTCAGCGCACGCGTATACGCAAACGCGAGCTGCTCGAGAGTCTAAAGGAGCGGATTGAGGCGCTCCAGGACGAGTACGAGCTGCTGAAACAGGCCTACGACTTCCACGCCACAGCCGTGTGTCTGTTGAGACTGGGAAACGTCGTGGACGTCCCGTGCGTACAGAAACTCGAGCAGGTCGGCGTCAACTCGAAGGAGGACAGGGACGAGGGCGGACAGCTCTGCGAGGCAGCCAAGACCTCGCACGAGAGCGACGAAGACGACGAGTCCCACGACCAGGAACAGCTCAACGCCAACGGCAAGAGACCGTTATCGTCCACAGCCACTAACAGCAACGTGCTCGTCTGCTCCAAGGAGGAGCGCGAACGTGTGCGACGTGAACGCAACCGCTTGCACGCACGGAGGGCGCGACTCCGCAAGAAACTCGTGCTCGAAAAGAGCCAGCAGGTAAAATGCTCTTCAAGTGTCTGTAGATGGGGAATTGATAGACTGATTGTTTGTATTGACGTGACTGTTGCAGGCTGTACACGACCTACGCGAGCGTAACGACCGTCTTCGCAGTCGCCTGAGTGTGCTGGTGTCTTCAATCTACGGGTCGGAGGCCTGTCTGGACGACCCGGACGCGACGTCCTGATCTCAACCCCACGGTTCGACCTTCGCCCCGCTTCAAGGCGGGCTCTATCTATCGCTTATGTTATCTTTTATCTATGGGCCGGCAGTTTGACCGGCTGCGGCTACTTCAATGTAAATACAGCAGCATAGCATTATGACATTTCCATCTGCCTTCCTTCCTACTTGGACGTAACGTTAGCGTTAATATAAAAAGGCTAAAATCCTCTTACCAAGTGTTTTCATTGCCCGAGTCCTTCGTAGAGCCCATGTGCAGGTTCAATGTGTGAAGCGTCGTCCACAGTCGACTCCACTTGGCATCGCGATGAGGCGACGCCATCCTCGTGAGTCCAAGCTGAGGCTGTCAAAATCGACATCACCGATGGCAAGACAGGCGCAACCTTCAGCTATAGTGCCAAAGTCTCGCCACGAGAACGAGCTCAGCGGTGACAGCGACGACGATGAAGTGGATACAAACCTCGATGAAGATTTACTCACTGAGATCCGAAGTGCGAGCCATGATAATAGTTGCACGTGTAGAAAGAATTTTGTATCCCAGTGACTCGCTTTTATTTTGCGTGTTCGCAGCGCTAGTGGAGAAGGAGAAATACCTCGAACAGCTACAAGATCAACTCAGACAAGAACACGGTGGCGACATCGATGACAGCGCCAGTGACAATGGAGACGACAACGATAATGAGTTGCATTTGCGTCGCGTCAGACCGAAACCACGGGGAGAAGACGCTACCAAGGTGAAATCCCTGCAGACCCGAGTTGCTCCCTATAAAAACGTGGAGATCGCTCGGGAACACTTCAGAATTTGTTTTGTGGAGGTAAATCTCGTCCAGCTTCGAGATCTTCGAACGTTGGTCCTCGTGGGCCAAGATCTAAACATCCTTCACCTGCGCACGTTGAGCAAGAATCTCTTCCTATTCAGTGCGCTGAAATCCGTAAATCTGTCGGATAACCAGCTCGATGATTCCGGCAGCAAAGAGATCCGTGAGAATATCGCTTGAAAAAATAAAGGTTGTGCTGTGTACCCACTTTAGTCTGACGCGTTGTTCTTGTAGGGGATATAATGTGCTGCCCAGGACTCCAGACACTCGATCTATCGAGAAACTTGCTAGGACGACTGACAGCTCGAACACTTTGTGAGCGATTGCGACATCAAGTCAAACTGCTGTCCCTTGATCTCGACGGGAACTTGTTCTTCTCGGATGGAGGCGCTGCAGCTTGTGAGATCGCTCGTTTATTTGCCAAAGGTGAATTTGAGCAACTTATTACGTGGTTGTCTCGTCTCTAATACTTTCGCATGAAGCGGTTGCCGTGAACGAATTCCTGTTGCATTTCAGTCTGAGTGTTCCTGATCAACGCGAAAGGTCTGTTCCACTTGGAGATCAGTGGACAAAAACTGCCACCCGAAGAGAACCAGCTCAAGTCCATAGCCGAGATCTACGAGACAAACACACAGAACTCAGTGCAGCCACGGAATTCAGCAGGCAATTGGCAGAGCAACTTCGACAAGGTGGCAAGCGCAGTAGTCTCCACTCGCTTGGACTTTGCTTCGCCGAAGTATCGCGTCGAGTTGTGCTTAATATCGTCAAGACGGCGAACAGACTTACAGCGTTGGACCTGTCGTTTGCGTTTATTGGAATCCCGGGAGCTCAAGTGGTTGCTGCAGCTTTGAGGATAGATGGCTACTCTACACTCACACAGCTCAACATGCGCTGCAACAGAACGAAATCCATGGGCGCGCGGGCGATTCTCGAGGCATTGGGCACGAACGAACGACTGACAGCTCTGGATCTGAGTCACAATGAGATCCGTAGCGACATCCTCGATGCAGTGGTCGAGTTGCTACAATGTAACAAAGTCCTCTCTCGGCTTGATCTGTCGCGGAATGAAATGATCCGAGTCGACAGTGAGGAAGAGCTGCGTTGTCTACGAGATGCGGTTGTGGACCATGGAGGCTTGCTGAGTCTTGGGCAACTAAAGAGGTAGCATGTACCAGACGCGAGCTGTTTTTGGAGGGTGAATTGACGTGTGTTTGCTGTCGGCAGTTTGGGTGCGAATGAAGCGCAAGAGCGAGAGTTGCAAAGTGCTTTGAACAAGAATCGTATCGCCGACGACCACGTTGTTCTTGCGTCAATCAACACTGCGACTTCACCGCCAACGGACGAAGCTGTACCAAGGACACGGCCCATGGCTAGTACGATAGTAGAGCTGGACGACTCAGCATCACAAACGACAGTGTGGCAGCGGAAGATCACGGAGAGCGGCCGGATCAGCTTGAAATGGAGAATGGCAGTGAGGACCAAACCCTCAGCTAGTGGCAGAGAACCCCACAACTCACCGCTTGAATGGCAGTTGATCGTGAACCGGACATGCGAAGTGCGTGGTTCACTGCATGACGAAGCAGCATCGGCACATCTTCGACTTGAGGAAGCGGGTAAGTTTTTCACAACGAATTAGGGGTCAATCGAACCGATACTTACCTGAATTTATCACTCAGGACACCCCTTTGTTTTGTATTCCGCAGTGGCATACTGTGACGCTGGCGACACAATGTTCCTTAAGCTCGGTCTCGACCATCAAACTAGAGAGAAACTCAGTGATGCCAAGCAGCTACATAAAGTCTATGTCAAGGATATCGTATTCATCCCACATCACGTACGAGTCCTTGCAGTAATGAGTTGAATGAAAACTGACACTCACATTGTCATTATTGACTCAAGCCACAAGATTGTCGACACTTGCTGGCTAGTATGCCGCAAAGTTTTCCAGGAGCAGCAACTCAGTGGCGGATGAAGACCCAGCGACGTGTGATGTCGTCGTCAGAGGACGATCCTATAATGTTCTTTTGGGAGGGTGTTGTCCAGAGGGTGTACATCCACACCACAGGCATTTATCGCCTTCTCGTCCGTGTTCAGTTTCCGATGCAACTTCCGACCACCAAGAAGGAAATAGGTCACATGTTGGAGGCACGTTTCTGGTGGAAACTCCAACGCTCTAGCTGCTGGAACCCCCATACCAACAGTGTCGTGCTCGAAGGAAGGTATTCCGACATGCACGGAGTTGTGCAAAGAGGCCACAATGTTGTGTTTTACCTGCCAGCAATGGAGTGGATGGCTGGGGAATATCTGCAGCTCTCCGTGACGGCACCAAGCGACGATATGGAACTGCGAGTCGTGCAGTTCCAGCTTTTCCATGAGGTATTGTCGCTGCAACCTCCTTCACATGAAGTCGATACGCTCTCTTACTGACAAAATGGATCCATTGTTGTAGGTGGACAGTTGGGAAAACCCATCGACGCAAGCCTGCCTCAGCTTTACAGCTTAAGTTGAATTTCATTTTAGAAATTAATTTTGTTCATGATGGCGTTTCAAGCCGCTAAATAACGGCTCGCGACGTCTCCGAGCCCTGGTTCACCTCCTCCAGGGGGCCAAATTTACTTTTGTCGCTAAGCATAGATCGATTTCAGTCCCAGTTTCGCTCAACAGCGAACAAAACTTAAGCACCATAGCGTCACTATCCGAGACGGACGTATCCACCGTCGACCGCCCAGTCTTGAGTCGACGGACTTCGCTTCGTGCTCAAGCCGCATCGCCGCCTTCCCAGCTACAGCTTGAAGAGGAAGAGGGGATAACGGCATCTGTCGAGAAGGACAACGCGTCTCCCACAAGAGACGACACCCCTTTGTCGAGTGCTGAGATGCCAACTCCAGTCCTCCCAATTCGACAGAACAGTGGATTAAAGATGGAGGGGGTAACGTGGGCCATGACAGCCGACATGGAACCCATCGTCCCCATTCAGGCGGCCGATGTGGAGCCGATCTCACCGACACAGACGGCTCCAAAGCTCGGTACTCCCGGGACAAGCCAAACAAGCAAGCGACGCATCACGTACGCCGCTGACGAGATCAGTCACCACGCACTCGATCGTCTAGGAGTGAACCCCGACATCCTGAAGAAGGAGAAGGGGATGAAGAAGCTCGGCATCTGCGATGGTGACATCGTCCAAAGTGAAGAACTGCGTCGATACACTGGAGTCTCTCAGATGGAGCCGTCGTCCAAAGCTGAGTTTATGTTTGGCTTCAACGACGAGCAACTACACCGCGAGAGAGCTATCAAGCGACTGGGTACCACTGAACAGGAGATCATGGACGACTACAGCCGCCGAGTTTCTCGCTTGGGCGTGTCGAGCCCGTTTCCCGTCAAGCTATAAGTTGGCAACATTGCCAAAAAAGAAATTCACCTGTGAATTTTAAATCTGCACTTGTATATTTTTCACATGTACTGATAATTGCTCTTGTCTTTTTCCAACTGGTCGAGTTTGTTGCCGAGGGAAATCCCGTCACTAACGGTCCCACTCCCGATGTTGCTGCCAGGTCCGATTGTGTTCCCTCCACTAGAAATATTCGCCATGGAGTTGCTTCCCGATAGTGAAAAAGGTGGCGGGTATCCACTATTTGAGCCACTAGTAGGACGAAGTTGAGCCGACGAGTAGGAGCGATACGTGGAGCCCGACCCCATAGCAGAAGACACTGAGAAACTGTGCTGCGAGCTCTGCGATCCTAGCGACGCCTGCTGCTGTTGTTGCTTCTCCAGGAAAGATTTCTTCGGCCCACGCACCGACGCTTTTGCCTCTTGTTTTTGTTGCTGATACTGTTGTTTCTTCTTCTTGTCTTTAGACACGGCACGTTGAGTGGCCAATGCTGCCGCACTCGCTCGTTGTTGCTCGATAAGTTGCATTTGGTTGTCATCACCCACGATCGGCAAATCAAGATGCTGACACTGACAGTTGCAGTCGGTAACAGGACAAACTGTGTGTGCCTTGAACCAGTCTGCCAAGTGGTGAGCGTGGCCTCCGTGTTTGCAGGATTGGCACCACGTAAACCACTCCACGAACGGGATACTGGACAGCTGCGCCAGATTCTCGTACTCATTTTTGCCCGTTTTAGGTTCTTTCAGCACACCTCCATTGTCCGCCGCGACGCTACTCACCAAATTGCTCACAGCCTCCGACATTTGTCTTGAGCGACGATGAGCCAGTTCGAAGTAGGGATTTAGAGATCCGAACGGCAATAAGCACAGTGCACACTGCGGCAGTGGCTTTCGACATGTCGGACAACACGTGAGCTTCGGTTTGGCACGATTGAGCCACGACGAGTGAGAGCCACCAAGTCGAAGTAAACTGGACAAAGAAAGCGACGCGTTGCAGAAATTGCAACGCACAAACAGTTGCGGAGGGACAGACAGAGTCGACGGCGCTGCGAGTTCCGCTTGAAATTCTACTGCATCGAAGTCGCGCGAGAAGCTGGTGAACCCATTCAGAAGATCTTCGAGTTGCGAGCGACCCACATCGAATCGAGCTCGTTCGTGGAAGAGTTGCCACTGGTTGAGTAAGTCCTTGTAAATCTGAATCCACTTTTCCAATCGAGATGACTTTGCCACGTACGAAGACGGCAGTCGAGCAGCTAATAACGCTAGTGTCTGGACATCTCCCGTCATATCCAAGTACGTCTGCAGAAGTCGAATACCGTCAGCGTTGAGTCCAGTCACAATTAAACCTTCCAGACGCCCAAACTGTTCGCTTTCTTCTTCGTGCTGAGCGACAAACGCCAGCAGCTCGTCAGCCTGAAGATACCGACAAGCAAACGCCAGCCGATCGCTTAGCGGCAGCGTGATATCGTTCAGAATCGCCGAGTACGCACCAGCACTTGCAGGTCTCGCTCCAAAAGCTGCCAGTCCGTCCACGCTGCCCCATTGTCTTCGACTATTCCCACGTCGTGGTGGCTGCTGACTAGCTCGCATGGCATTCATGTTTGTCGAATTCGACGAGGAAGCTGAGCTCGCGACACACAAGAAGGACAGCATCGCGTGGAAGTAGCGAGGATTTGCTTGGGACATGATCTCACTTCGCTTGAGCAACTGTTGGGTCATATTAGACCACAGAGAGAGCCCTCCGGTACTTGCAATGGACGCAGAATACCCCGCAACAGACATCGCGATCAGTTGTAATAAATCCGGCGAGTACGGCGACGAGACTCCCACGTTCAAGTGTTGCATCTGAGTCAGCCACGTCGCCCCTTTCTGAAGTAGCGCCACGGCTGCATTCAAGTCTCCATGGAAAACTGCCAGCGCTGCTGCTCGAGCGTAATTGCCTTCCAACTCGCAGCGATTGAGGATATTCTGGAGCTCATGACGACCATTCTCGTTCCACGAGCGGTTCGCGAAGTGCGCGTTCTCGTCGTACTGCTTCTGAGGGTTCCAGATACTTGAACTACTGCGATGCATGTTCCTTCCCGCAGTATTGTCGAGGCCTGGTCCACCTACACCCGTTGACGACGATCGGGAGGCTCCTTGGCCGCTGTCGGGGTCCCAATTGCATGCTAACAATCCCAGTCGTCGTCCAGGCCCTTCAAAGTACTGGCAGCCAAGAACTTGATCGGTCTTCATCACAGACACGACAGTAACGACAAGCTCTTCTTCTCTGGAGTCCTCCTGGGCGGTGGCCATAGACCCGGAAGAGCTAGGCCTTGAGGCTGTCGAGGGATCTCCAATGGCTGTCAATAGACTCTTCACACCAGCGATGACAAGTGCGTTGGGATCTACAGGCCACCCGCGCAAAGGACCCGCCATTGCAGCGTTCACAGCACTGTTCCCAAGTCCGTTGCTGGTAGAACGCGACTGCTCCACACGCGACGCTCGAATGCGACGAAGAGCCTCAACCTGATCCACCCAGAGCCACAAATTGCGCAGCTGTCGACCACGTTGAGTAGGCTCGTTAAACAGCTTCAGGTTCTTGGATAACCCGATCGAGTAGCCTTGCTTAGCCAGCTTGTACATTTCATTTGAAATGTCCTCTTCCCCACGAGAGACTGAAGCCACATCCTCTTCCAACGACAGTCGAGTCATAGCCGACGTCCCCAATCCAGGCCCACTGACAGCCCCGCCAAACAATAATCGCCCACAACCAAACGTCACAGCTCCGTGAGACGACAGCGAGAGCGGCATAGCATCATGCACCGAGATGTCTCCAATTTCTCCATTTACCGATGCAGTCAGCAGTCGATTCGGGAAAGCTGCTGCAGTTAGTTGATGCTTCTGCGCACTGCTGCTCTTGCCAGCGTTTGTGGCGCGCTGTATCCGCGATGGAGAGTCCACATGCTGCCACGAGAAAGATGTGAGCGGTTCCGACGTGTAGCGTCTACGAAAAGGCTTCTTCAGAGTCGAGGATCCGCTCTCCTGCTTCGTGACGTCCCACAAGGACACCCATTTCTCCTCTGTAGATGCTGTGACCAGAATTCCTGGTTTTGATGGACACCACGACACCTGCGACAGGTTTTTACTGGTCTGGTACAATGAAAACAGCGGCCCCGATGACGACTCCAATTGTCGGATATCCCACACCTTGACTGGCTCCTGGGGTGCATCACTGTACGTCGCGAGCAAGTGTGGTCGATGATGGTCGAACACGACCCCTAACACGGCTTTATTGTGTGCCACCACACTCATAGGCGACGACCCCTTGGTCCTTAAATCATACACTCTCAGCCATTTAAACCCTGTACCAGTCGCCAGACACGTCGGTTGCAGTGGCACCCACGACAGCGCCATTGTAGCTTCCGAATTAGCCAATTCATGGACTGGTTTCGAGTCTGCAGCGGAGAATCCATTGCTTCCGCCCCCCACTCCGACACTGGCACTCCCTCCTCCATTGCTACCTCCTTTCCTGATGTTAAGAGACCTCTCCGTGCCTCCATCTTGGTCCACAAGGCTCTCAATGTTGCCACTACTACTGCTTCTAGGCATTCCCTGACCTCCCCCTGCCACTCCCACTGCGTTACTCGTATTCAAGTCCCATACTAACGTGCAGAAATCACTACGGACTTTCTCGAAGCCTGCAGCCAGTTGATTGGGCACTGACGGGTTCCACGCCACGGCATGACAAGGACGGCTGTACTTGGGCAAGAACTCGCGCATGACACGGGCTCGCGGGTCTTCAAAATCGCATAATAATACTTTACCTGACCCCGTGCCAGTGGCGATCAGCAGCGGCTTGGCATTGAACGGATACCACTGCAGACATTTGAGCTGCGAGACTTTGGCGTTGATGCGCACGACGCGGAAGGCGCGTTTGCGCTGCGTTGAGGGCGCCGATAACTCGGGTGCGACGTCTGCATAGTCTCCAGAGGAAGAGGATGAAGTCGTGACCTCGAACAAACGTAGGTTGTCTGCGCCCACAGCGAACAGCGACGCATCATGCGGCGACCACTCCACCACCGTGCGCTTGCTCATCGAATCAGGGAGGATCGAAAACAGAATGAGATGATTGGCTAAAATTAATAAACGTCAGTTTTAACGAAAACTCATGCTTTGCACAGTAGATTTGCTAGATTTTTATTTTTATTAATAACAGTAAAAAGGGAAGTGCCTACGTTCACCACTACTATTGGGCCAGGGACTGGTTACCGATTTACCATGGTGAGGGTATCTATTTAATGTTTTGAGACATTCTGCTGGCCACTCAATATCAAAATCTCTCCCTCCTCACTTCCAGCACCTACGAGACGCCAGCTAGCGATGTCGACACGAAATGCTAAGAAGCGAGCACATGTCAGCGACAGCGACCACAATAGTGGTGACGATGAAGAGGACACCTAAGGCGTCAGTGTCTCTTTCTGCCAGCTTAGTGGGGAGTTTTCGTCCTAGGACGCATTTCATGAGGAATGGAGTAGGTATGTGGCGTGTGAACGGTCTAATTATATCCGCTAGAAGCTAACATTTGTCCTAATTACAGGTATCAGGATGAGACGCACCAACTGTACAAGATTCGCACTACCAGCTCGGTGGCTGATCGCAACAAACAGCGCCGATCTGTAGCCTTGCGTCGGGGGACTTCACCAATTATTTTTGACGAGTCGCTACAGTCCTATACCAATACCCTTATCTACATGCATGGTTGGACTTTCAAACCAAGGAGTAAGGAGACAAGGACCAGCCACAACATCCGCTGCATTGACCGACCCGCGAAAATTAGCGCAGTTCTTATCAAGGATGGAGATGCCTACAAAGTTCGGGCTTCCAAGTCATAGCCACCCATAACCACGACGTCGGCCGTGATGTGTACTACACATACGCAGAGGCTCGCAAAATCACATCACCGAGTACGCAGCGAGTGGTCAGAACACTGTTGCAAGGAATATAGAATATTTAGCTATATGATTTAAAAGTGTTACCAACAGCTCAGCATTTGATGTAGGAGTCCCCGAGAAAAAGAAGATCTTGCGATACCTAACGGAAATGTCGGGGAAGGTTTTGCTGCCTAAGTATGTAGAGAATGTCATTGCGAAGAAGCGGATGGAGACCTACACTTCGATGGATGACACCGAGCGCGTGGCGCAAGTGCTCCGAGATTTTAGCGAGGGTCCCGGCAATGCTGTCAACGTGTTTCGTGATAAGGGTACGGGGCTTACATCGTGTATTACTTTCCAGACAGCCCACATGCGAAGGATGGCACGTAAATTTCCGGAGGCAGTCTATCTGGACGCGACCTATAGAACCAACATTAGTCGGTACGTCTGCGAGCTGGTGTTGCGACCACCAACTCGTTGATGTTTGTATTACTCTCCCAAGCTGTTTACCAACAAGTACTTTTTCTGTTCAAATGTAGGTATCGATTGTTCAGTTTCATGATTACGGACAAGTTCGGGTGTGGATCCTTTGCGCAACAAGCTTTAATCGATGGAGATAGCAGGCTGAATATGTCGTGTGCATTACGAGTTTACAACGCAGGGTGGGCGGAAGTGAAGGTCACTGTAATCGATAAGGACTTCACTGAATTGAAACTGCTGCATGATGAATTTCCGTGTGCAACTATCATTCTATGTCACTTTCACGTTATCGACTATCTCAAGCGGGAAGTGAGCACAAAAAACTACGGCTTTTCTGCGTTTGAAAATTTGCACATCAGGAATTTCTTGACAGTGCTGGTTCGTGCAGATAATGAGAACTTGTTCGACGACCTACTTTCAGCCTTAAAGAAACTGTGTGCGAGTAAACCTGCGTTTATTTACTATTGTGAAGAGAATTAAATGAAATTCAAGGAGCAGTGGCGTTCGTACAAGCGTGAAAATATTCCGCATCTGGACAATAGCACGAGCAATCGTCTCGAAGCCAGCTGGGGGGCGTCGAAAGACTTGCTACATCGTCGTATGGCTATGGATGAGCGTATCGATCATCTTCTATTCCTACAGCAGTCTATTGAACTCCATTACACTGCCAAGCTCAAGCGCGTGGGTTTTCGCTACAATCAAAATTATGACAAAGAGGTGGCCGTAGTGCGCTATCCATCACGCATGTGATTTGGTCGAGGAGTAGTATCGCGTTAGCGGAGAAGAGTCGTATGAAATATCGAAAGATGGAAATATTTCAAGAATTTGTACTCTCTCCAGTTATAAGGATTCTGAATTGAAATACGCAGTGAGCTTGGATGAGAACTCATGCAGTTGTGTATTCAACCAGACTGTGTTGCTACCCTGTCGTCACAATATATACTTGCGGCGACAGCACCCACATTTGCGCTCTATTATTCCATGTGAGGCGATTCCACAACGATGGCTGCTTGCAGATGACGAAGAAGAAGACTTAAGTGCTTCTAGTACGACGCAGAAGCTCTACGTCGAAGATGTTGAAGCTCCTCCAAGTCGTGTTCTTGGACATAATGAAACGTATCGGTCCGGATATGCAGTGTGCCGGAGAATAGCCGAAGTTTTAGCAGACAAAGGGTCAAGAAACTTTCGCATTTAGATTGACTATTTGGTAGAACTCGAGATAGTCGCCCGTCCTAGCGACATGCCGCCACCCCACCAGGGTACGGATGGTTCCAGTGATATTGGTGAGGTTGTCACCAGCTCGGGTGATATTAGTAAAGCTGGCATAAGCTCGGGTGGTATTGGTGAAGCTGACCAGTTCTGTTGGAATTATCACCAATGCGGGAAACGTTGGTGTAAAAGTCACCAAATCAGCTCTAGTTGGTAATTACACCACCAGTTCGGGAAATAATATGGTGTCAGATCATCTGCCGGCTGAGATGAAAATGGAGAAGGATACTCGAGCGATCCAGCCTAAAACTCCCTCGACAAGAAGGAGGCTTAGTCTTGACAGTTCCGACAGTGACTCGAGCGATGAGATTATGAATATATTGCTGAACACAGCCAGTAAACCGGCAGGACGACCGCGTGAAAAGAAGTCTGCGCAGAAGGTAAAGCGTCGTAAGCAATTCCAAGAGTCCCGTGATCTTATCCAACAGACCAACAGGCACGGTGACATTAAGTTATCTGATTTACAGGAATTTGTGGACCAAAAGAAGCTGTCTCTGTAGAAAATTGAGCCTGTCTTCTCTGCCATTCGGCTCAGGCATGGTGAAGCCATATACAAACAACCAAAGGGCCATGTGCGCTCCGGGAACAACAAAAAATGTTGAAATGAGTATAAGAATCGTGTTGCCGGAGGTGCTTGTCCAGAAAGCTCAAACAGTAGGTTGCAACGCTGTCGTTCGAAGTCAGGCGAAACACGGACGTGCTCCACCACACGAGGACATCGCCATAACAATTTTAGATGTGCGATCGCTCTCTCTCGTCGACATCGATACGGTGCAAGAATGGCATTGCCTGAAAAATACGTTTTGGATGCTCACAACCTCATAAAGGAATTCAAATCAAAATTCAAAACGGATACCGGTGCTGTAATCATGAATAGATTGCGGACGTTGAATATGTATTCGGCTTTGAAGTCTAAGATCGGGGAGACGATCGTGCAATTTGACGACAAAACAAGATTTGCGGGTGAGAAATGGCTTAGCGACGGCTGTGTTTTCGTAACGGCACTGAAGGTAGCCGAGCCTTAGATTCACAAGCAAGCTAGCGGATGAATTACACAAGTCCACGTAGGGGATACCGTTTTTCTTTATTTTCAAGACGAGGAGGGTCGTGGAAGAATGCTGGATACAGCTGAACGCGTGCTGAGCAAAGTCGTCAAAACTCGCGTTATCCTGATTCCAGTGTACATCACCGATGATATTAGTCATTGGTGCGGGGAAATCATCGACTTTGACAGCAAAACTATCTGGATTTAAGATCCGAAAACCAACGAGGACTATTTGAGTGCAGTAACCGCTATCGTGATGACAAACATTGTTCTAATCGTCGACAAGAAATGCAAGTTGACTATCCGCCGTTCTTCGGCGTGGCACCAAGACGAAGGACACAACTGTAAAGTGCTTATTGTAAAGTGGTTTGATACCTATCTCAATGTTACCAACAGCACGAAACCGGGCAAGAATCTAGAGAATCTAACTTCTGCGTTCACTTCGGCCCAATACCTGGACGACTGTCGATACAAAATGTTTCAGTCTGTCTTTATTGACGTTACAAGCTAGGCTAACTAATAGAACACCCACCTTTGCATGTATGCGTATTCTTAGCTGAAGTCCACGGAGACAAACGACGGCTCTATCTTCCGAAAGCAGAATGGTCTTCTCTAGCAATTGCTTGCGTAAGAAGTTCAGACGCAGTGTGATATAGAAAGTACCCTGAAGCTATTTGTAGACACCTTTTCTGAAACACCGACACAACCGGTATGTATGTAACCCTCGCCCTATATTTTTTTCAGAAAAAAATATAGGGCGAGGGTTACATACCTGTTTTCTACCCGTGAACTGGTGAACGTAGGGAGAGCAATATCTAAGGGGGTTTGACAAGACTAGTATATGATTAAATTTAATTGACAACTGCAGAAATATCTCTGACAGTACAAGCAAGACCTCTCGTGGAATCAAGCAGTAATTTGTCCTGTCGGAACACTGACAGAAACAGTAGTTTATTATTAGCAAGGTTCCTCAGAAATACTCCAGATTGTAGCCCGACGTTCTGCTCGAGTCGATCGGCTCAACTGTGCCGCGTCGTTGATAATATGATCATCGAGCAGCTCTCATTCAGCAAGTCTACAAGCGTAATTATCCCGTCAGTGTTTGGAGGGCCAGAATGACCGGAATTCCTGTCTCGGATCTTCCTTATGAGGAGCTTTGTGTGGGCGACGTGATTCAATACTATCTGACGGCTTTAAGTGGAGAAACGCGGATGGATTTTGCGGGCCATGGTTACGAAGATCGATCGGAGCTCTGATAATCCTGCTCACGTGGACACTGGAGAAGTATTGTGGAAAGTAATGATGGTGTCTCGGGTGCAGACAGCCTCAGGCCGCAAGATCCCATCAGAAGGAAGAAATTTACGTACCGT